TGACTAAGCCGCTTCTGGCGAACCAGAGCAGCACACGGAAACGCCGTTTACCTTCCCGCCAGAGCAGTAGCTATGTATCTACTTGCACTTTGATGGGCTTATGAACTGCTAGGTTGGCAGGAGCAGGGACCGAGCAATGGGAGCTCACCCCGTCACGGGGATTCGAACCACCGACCTTCTGATCAGCAAGTCCTAGGCTCTGTGGTTTAACCTACAGCGCGCCCGTGTCCTTTAGTATGAAAGTTCACACCCAATTCCCAGTCGGTCAGTTTTATTCAGCAATGCATTACAGAATAGAGTCCAAAGAGTTCATCCCAATCAACCCAATACCCAGGAGCATAATGTGGGGAGGGCCAGTGGGGCCCTGGCCCTGGGCACAGATTTTTGAAGAGGTGCGAGGGGGCGCAAAAAGGTGCCCCAGTAACAAGATGCCTCATTAAGGCAGAGTCGTGAGGAGGCAAGTCAAGCTGCGCCCAGGCCGGGCCTTCAGGACTGGGGCACTAGAGGCGTCTCCTTCTCCTCATGGCTGGTGAAGGGACACCCTTGTTTGCCCCACCACTGGGACAGCTTGGATGGAGGGAGCCGCCAACCAAGGAGAGGTGAGAGCCTCCGGCAGCTGTCCCCTCTTTTGTGAACAGCCCTCAGGTCCACCCTCCTTGAGGGACAGCTTCAAGCCTCTTTCTCCCTCTCCTCTCCTCACTTCACCTCACTCGCTGATAGCTCAGATCACTGTGGCTTGGTCAGTGGTGAGGGCTTGGGTTGGTGAGGCCACCCTCCACTCCTTGCTCCCCAGCACACGCACCCGAGGCGCCGACAACCCATGCTAGGCCACTGCCAACACCTCACCATTTCTCCTCCCACCACAGTCCTTGAAATGCAACTTACTCAACCTGTTTTTCACTGTACATATCAGGAGCTTCCTTGCACTTTCAATGGAGTTGTTTTTAATTTTTAACAGTCAACTGTTGATTTCCTCCTTCACTTGTTGCTACCAGTTTTGTGGTCAGGTTGCACTCTTGCAGCTGTGAAACTAGCCCCGCTGATAATGAGTTTAACAGAAATACCACCTCAGCCTTTAGGGGGAGATCTTTTACGGACCACACCAGAATGTCCTAAGGCTGGTTACAGCAATACCAAACACAGCATTAAAAAATAGTTTTAAACAAATTACCATCACAGTTAGAGACAACCACAACTAAAACACAAATTCTGTCTTCCAATAGCCATGATTCCCTGTTTTAGAAAAAAAAAGAGAGGGGCGAATCTGGTTTGGAACCGATTATTATTCTGCTAGTTTTGCAGAGGACAATTGGCCTTGCATAGCAGTACACAGGGCTGGCCCACCCATGAGGCAAGGTGAGGTGGCTGCCTCAGGAGGCAAGATCCACAAGGCAAGCAGATCGGCCCGCCAAGGAATACATTGCTCATTGCTGCTGCTGCCGCCGCCATGATAGCAGTGATAGCTGCAGCACACTCCTTGGAGGCCAGATCTGCCATCTTCTCTGCAGCTCTTCACCCACAACGAACTCTTGGCAAATAGGAGATGCTGCTGGTCTCCTCCCACTCTTGTTCCCAATGTAGATCTTTACCCCAATCCCTTCTTCCTGATGTAGCTCTTCACTCACCCCTTCTTCCCAGAGGCATAGGAAAGTCAGGTGGTACCCGGTGCGGAAATTTTTTTGTCAACCCCCCCCCCCATTGAAATCATTAAAAGAAGGTAAAATAAGATACTTACAGTTGCAAGTGTTATTTTCTGGTTTATTTACTTAACATTGTGAGCATAAGCACTTAAAACCCTTCAGACTCCGTGGCTTCAATATCAGCCAGAAACAAATTTCTTCTAACCCATCACCCCACTGCTCTGTTCACCATCTAGCCCAATGGTTGAACTTTGCACACTATTTTGCAATAGGTAGGCCAAATAATGGAATTGCCCTAATAAGGATGTGTGTTTTCCTTATGGTTCGCTGCCGCTCCCTTTTCTTTTACAATGCCTTTTAAAACAGGTGGCTAATCTGTGTCCCTCCAGGTGTTTCTGGACTGCAACTCCCTTCATTCCTATTGCCCATACTAGCTGGGACCAGTGGGGGATGTAGTCCAGCCACATCTGGAGGGACACAGGCTAGCCCCCCGTTTTAAAGCTGACTGTGTAATGCACCATATCAGAAGCACAAATCCCTTTCAAGGGGCTATTTCCCTCTCCTCCCCCTCATGTTTTTTCTTAGTATCTGCCCTGAACAACTCTGCAACTCAAATGCTTGCTCATTCTTTTGAGACATTTGAGTTAGTCCCAATAAAGCATTGTTCAACTATTGGGCTGTTGTTGTTTTAATTAAATGCACCATTTCAAAAAGAAACAGATGTTTTTAGGCTGCAATTCTACACCTGCTTTCCTGGGATGAATTCCTGTGGAACTCAGTGCAGCTTATTTCTAAGCAGACATGCAAAGAAGGGCACAGTTGTTTAAGCACCATCTCAGCAGCTCACTGAACAATGAGAAACAATTTTCATGCTAACGTGAATACATTCTTATATTAATTCTCTCCTGCAATGTTGATGTATGGATCTTAACTTGTGTTTCTTTGGGGTGTTAGGAGGCACTGATATATCTCTTGGCTTAATCAAACCGAGAACGCATCATCCAGCTTCTGTGTTTGAAAGACGTGTTTGTTTATTATTATTATTATTATTAGTAGTAGTAGTAGTAGTAGTAGTAGTAGTAGTTCCTGAATACCTGGCACACCTGGACTGCAATAATCATATGGATATAGAAAAGCAGGAGGAAATGTCTTGGTAGCTTTATTGTAAATATCCCTGCTACATAAGAATAGCCTTGCCTGATCAAACCAAAGGGTCCTGTTCTTCCCCCCTCTTGTCCATCTCCAGCTAAGGTAGGGTCTTCCCTGGCTGGGTGTGTGTGTACCATTTTGTGGTTTGCCTCAGTGGCAAAATGTCTTGGGCCAGCTCTGGAAGGGGTGAAGTGTACTAATTCCTGGATTACACAGACCCTCTGATGTGTTGACTCTGCTGGGATAGTGTGGTTGTGAGATTAGGTAAGGGGGGGGGGGAACTGAACAAAAGACAAACATTCCCCTGATTTGCATAGATCTAAAAAACGGTTAAGAACTTCCTGAATCCGGTTCACTTTTTTAAAATTGCTCTTCTTGAAATACAGCTGGCCAGCCTATAAAGCAGGTCCCATTCCTCTCCACAGTACAGAGCAACTTTGGACTTCCACGCCTTCGCTCCTTCTTGCAGAAATGGGAACTTGGACTGCTCTCTGTGCCTTCCTTCTGATTGCGTGGCGAGTTCCCGCCCCCCACCAGGATAAATAAAGACACCAGACACCATAATTAAGGTTAATTGGGCGAATTAGGCCACAACTTTATTGAGTTCAGGAATGAGAGGCATTGGCTTAGGCATTGGTCCTATCGACTATCCGGCTCCAGCCCAATTGCTGGAGACACGGGGAAGGGTTAACACTATATCGGGGAGTCTCCTGCCGAGGCACGTCGACTAGGAGCTCCCCGGGTCACCGCTCTGGGGCGTGCCTTTGGCCCTCACCTCCATAGGCTTCGGACAGGGCCACGCCCCCCCGGAGTCCTTTAACGGACCACCCTTCGTTCACTGGGGGGAGGTGATGGCGCTCCTCCCCCCCCCACACATCCTCTTAACCCCTTCTTACCAATGCCTACCGCCAATGCCGAAGAGTTGTGACGAGTTGCTACGAGGTAGGCGCAAACCAAAAAGCTGTAAATTGCCAATTGGGAAAAATTCCTACCATGCCCCTTGCGGCGACAGACCGAAGTCCATAGCAAAGTCAGAAACCTGCCTAAAACCTACCTAGAGGGAGGGAGGGTGGGAAAACGTGAGGGCTAGCCGGCAAAGAGAGGGCGAGCCCCTCCGTGCCGGCCCTAAATAGCCCAGGCCACGCCCCCAGCCAGCCGATTGGCTGGCTGGGGGCACACCCGGCCGGGATTCCCTGTTCTCGCGGGGCTGAAACCAGCCCCCGCTCACGTGGGGTGGGCGTGAAGCCCGCAACCCCACCTCCTGGGCAAGCCGGAAGTGGCTTTGCGTGGCGAGTTCCCGCCCCCCACCAGGATAAATAAAGACACCAGACACCATAATTAAGGTTAATTGGGCGAATTAGGCCACAACTTTATTGAGTTCAGGAATGAGAGGCATTGGCTTAGGCATTGGTCCTATCGACTATCCGGCTCCAGCCCAATTGCTGGAGACACGGGGAAGGGTTAACACTATATCGGGAGTCTCCTGCCGAGGCACGTCGACTAGGAGGTCCCGGGGTCACCGCTCTGGGGCGTGCCTTTGGCCCTCACCTCCATAGGCTTCGGACAGGGCCACGCCCCCCGGAGTCCTTTAACGGACCACCCTTCGTTCACTGGGGGGAGGTGATGGCGCTCCTCCCCCCCCACACATCCTCTTAACCCCTTCTTACCAATGCCTACCGCCACACGAGCAACCGCTCGCCGCCAATACTCTCATACCTGAAACCAATCCCTTATCCCCTTCACTATGTCGCACAGCCAAACATCATTTCCAGCATCGGAAAGATGCACGCCATCAAACCGGTAGAGGGCCTCACAGTTGAAACGAATGCCCGGGTGTTCGATGACCTTTCCACCCAGGGCTGCCACTCTACGCACCACCGCCCGATCCAAGGCTTTTCTCGCCTTATTCATGGCTATCGGGCACCTGCAATCCCTCCAAACACGCCTCTCCATCAAAGAGGCCCAAATGATTGTCATGTCCGGGTAAGAGGCCTTAAGCTCCTCAAAGTCACTGAAAATGTGCCGCAGTGGCAAAATGTCTTGGGCCAGCTCTGGAAGGGGTGAAGTGTACTAATTCCTGGATTACACAGACCCTCTGATGTGTTGACTCTGCTGGGATAGTGTGGTTGTGAGATTAGGTAAGGGGGGGGGGAACTGAACAAAAGACAAACATTCCCCTGATTTGCATAGATCTAAAAAACGGTTAAGAACTTCCTGAATCCGGTTCACTTTTTTAAAATTGCTCTTCTTGAAATACAGCTGGCCAGCCTATAAAGCAGGTCCCATTCCTCTCCACAGTACAGAGCAACTTTGGACTTCCACGCCTTCGCTCCTTCTTGCAGAAATGGGAACTTGGACTGCTCTCTGTGCCTTCCTTCTGATTGCCTTCATCCATGGTGAGTTTAGACTGATTTAGTGTTTTGAATAGGGAAAATAAGAATTCAAGGACTTTTAATAAATTGACAAGCTTTTTTACACCATGTACAGCTATCCTTAGCAAGTGTTAAGCATACAGGCAAATTAGATTAAAACTTGAAGATGATGTCAGTAATGATTGATTGCCCAAGAAAGTAATTAGGTGTTCATTTTTCCTCTGGATCCTGTGCATGCCTATCTGAAAGGAAGCTCCACAGAGTTCAGCAGTGCAATTGATTGGGGATGCATCCTGAAAACCTCTTAACTGTTGAATGCTTCTTTCTAACAATGGCAGGCCTATTACTCCACTGGTGGGCAACCTATTTGTTTTGTATTTGCTCCAATGGGCTGGTATATTTGCTCTCACCTTTCGGGAGAAATGTTTCTGAGCCAAACAGCGGCTCATAGCCAGAACAATATACCTTGTTCTTGTTCCTTGGAGGAAATCCAACAAAGGCTGCTGTGGGATGCTCTAAAGTACAGAATATCATGTCATCAGGGAGTGAGCTGGGCTAGATGGCATATGGGATTCATTGGACTTGTGAATCAATAGCTCATAACTGACATTTTTATATCATTTCTCTCCTGTGTGGAGCAATTCCTACAGTGCAAAGATTTTTAGCAGTTTGAGATAGCACTGACTTAGCACAGGGGCCTTCAGTCTCTCAGCCTACCATCTATAACATGGGAAAGGATAATAGCAGACAGTGACCTATAATACAGCATTACCTCTAGTTCACACTCTCTCCCCCCCCTTGTGCTCAGTTACTGTCCCATCCTGATTTGGGAAGCTTGCCCACTGTGTCCGAACTGGGGAAATTATGCTTGAAACCTCTCCAAAGCTGTGGTTTCTGATTATCCTTTGAAGGCAAATTATGATTTGTCCAAAGCAGCAAGGGAAACAACTGGAGCATGAGAGATTTGTAGGCTTAGCACATTGAAAAGGAAGAATGGGGGGGAGGGGTTGCCATGGGTATGTTTACAAACCAGGGAAAGTATGAATATTACATGCACAATGTGCACACATGCACACACACACGGCAACCAAGCACATGCAATGCAATCACACAAATGCACGCTCACTTCCTCCCCATCAGCAATGGCACATTTCAGACAGGCAAGAGCACTCAGAGGTGGTGCAGGGATGGTCAGGTAAGGGATGTGGTTTAAGGGGCAGAGATTGCCTGGAGAGTCTCTAGGACTAGAAAGACAACTGGAGGGCTGCATTTGGTCTCCAGGGCTGAAGTTTCCCATCACTGGGGCAGAAGATAGCAGTGCCATTTGGTTTACGGCCACCATGTTCATTAGTACCCGTGCCTCTTTGTAAACAAAGAGAATAGGATTCTAGGAGTGTGCAAGAGTTTGAAATGCAGGGTGACCAAATCATTCGACTTAACTTCTTAACTCCATCTTGGTTCCTTCTCTTTGCCTCAGGTACCTGTTCCCAAACATGCCTTTGTGCCCGTGGCTTTTGTGAGAGGGGCTGGGTGCAGTATCAGAATGCCTGCTATAAAGCTGTGACACAACCAATGACCTGGACTGATGCAGAGGCAAGTGATTGATGTGATGTCAAAGGGGACAGAAACAGACCGGTCACACGTCCTTGACTAGACCAGATTTGTAGGAGAAGTGGAGGCTGCTCTGTGGAAAAACATATTGCAGAGGTCTTTGCTGTCCTTTTGGGGAAAATAAATAGTGATTACCTAGAAATACAATCGATTTGTCCACCAACCTTTTTATTTTTGGACATACTGTGGAAAACACAAAACTGAGGTCAGATTAAATGCCAACACTTATTTCCTGCCAGGCAGACACACAACTCTCTCTTTCCCCCTTGGCATATCATCTACTGGCAATTACTTGTGTCATAATGATGCAATGCTCTGCCCCCCAGCTCTCCTTCGCCCCCCCCCAAAAGAGGACAGCCACTGATGTTTATCAGGGAGCAGGGAAATATGTCACCACGTAGCCAAGCACTGCCACATATTAACAGAAATTAAGCAGGAGCAAAGCAGGTACCATTCTCAGCCATGGATGTGCTCTGATGCCTTCACCCGACACTTCTCAATGAGATTTTCCCCATTGCTTTCCAAACCACAAAAAGTCTGTTTCTTCTTTCAAAGTTAATTTGTTTGCATTAGTGCATTTTAGTCCACTTTAATTGTGCACACCTCAATACAATGCAAATCTTTATTATGGTCATAGACCAGCATAAAAGGGTGGGATACAATCATTTAAAATCTGAAAAGTGTTTTGGAAAGCTAAAAGGTATTAAAACAGAAGGTGAATATAAAAGTCTATAAGAATTTAAAAGCTAAAAGAAGGGATAGGAGCACTGGACAGGTGTGGAAGAGCATAAAAGGTGATACATAAAATACTTTAACTATTAATTTACAGAGCACTCTGATATGTTCATTAAATCTGGTTTGTGGCACAGGTCATCATCCTCCAACGAATTTTGAGTGCTGCTGTGCAGAATCTAGCAACATTGTATGTTGTAGCAGGATTGGTATCTGAGAGCAGCAGGGAGTTATAGAATTGCCCTGTGAGCCCTGGGTACTTATGAAGTAGTGGGGAAATCAGGCTATAGTAGGGAAAACAGGCTATATACCTCAATTGATGGCATGCGCTTGAATCCCTCCAGCAGAAAGGTGACAGTCTCCGGAGGCAGTCCTAAACACACAAAGAACACCTTGATGCACATATACAAAGTGCAGGACTCCCCACACACAAACACACGCAGTCACAGCACCCCTGCCTTTAAACCACCCACCCAACTACCCAACTGCTTCTGCTTTGCTGCCAGTTATTTTGCTCTGGGAGGAGCCTCCACTCGCTAAACAACCGAGTGCTGAATGATTTGCCCTTCACAAAAGCATCTGATTAAAAGGTGATAGTTGAAACCATGTGAATACATGACGGATCTGCACCAAAGCAGTGAAGGGCAAGCTTTTCTAACATCCTTAATTTGGGGGGCAAAATTAAAAACAGCAAAATGATAAATGGGAAGCATATTTTGATGAAAGCAAGAACAGTTGCAACCAAAGGAGCTCTATACTTCATTACAAAACAGTTATACTAATGCAACACAGCTGTTCTACTTCATCAGATTGATCCGAAGTTTTTGTTGCTTCACAGGTAACTTAGAGATCAGCGTGTAGAGATTTTAATATATTAAGTGGCTTATGAATGCCTATAAATAAATAACAAATAACTTCTCTCTATGTCAATTTTCAAACTAGAAAGGAAAATCGTCTTGGTTTTATAAATAATGGAATTTTTAAGCTTTCTAATGGTACTGTGCTGAGATACACAGTTCTTATGGTTGTGGGGAAATATTTGAAAGTATTTAGACACCAACTGCATTGATTTTCAAAGTCTACATAAGAGGGAGGCGTTGCACAGATATTTGGTTCTTGTGAAACACACCTTTTTTTGTAATTAAGCAGGAAGTGAATTATTCCCCTGTGCATTTTCCCCAGATGGCCTGCCAGAGGTATGACAGGGACTCTCACCTAGCCTCCATCCACAGCCCAGAAGAGAATGACTTCATTTTTCACCTGATGGGCAAGCCACTGGATTACACCAAAGGAAAGGCCTACTGGATTGGTGCTCATGACACTTTCAAGGTACACTATGCTGACTTAGCCATTCAGAATAGCCAAAAGTTCAGCTTACTTATATATATATTTATATACGCTGTTTGTGATCCACATTGGGAGGGCTTTGCCCTGAAAGGTGGCATATATTTTCCCCCATTTTTTCCATGGCTTTTTATAGGCCTAGTACAATATGCAATGGGACGCAGGTGGAGCTGTGGGTTAAACCACAGAGCCTAGGGCTTGCCGATCAGAAGGTCGGTGGTTCGAATCCCCGTGACGGGGTGAGCTCCCGTTGCTCGGTCCCTGCTCCTGCCAACCTAGCAGTTCAAAAGCACGTCAAAGTGCAAGAAGATAAATAGGTACTGCTCTGGAAGGAAGGTAAACGGCGTTTCCGTGAGCTGCTCTGGTTCGCCAGAAGCAGCTTAGTCATGCTGGCCACATGACCCGGAAGCTGTATGCCGGCTCCCTCAGCCAATAAAGCGAGATGAGCGCTGCAACCCCAGAGTCCGCTGCGACTAGACCCACCTTACAATATGCAATGTGGTCCCCCCCCCCTTTTTTTTTTGACTTAGCAAGCCTTTCTTTCTGTGAATGTTTTAGCTCAAGATTCTGTTGATCTTTCCTTAGGAAGGAGACTTTGTCTGGACAGATGGTTCCAAATTTGATTACCGGACGTTTCCTCCTTCACAGCCTGATGGACTGGCAGGCGAACACTACTTGGGATCCTGGGTTTTGCAAAATGGTGAAAAACAAACTCCCCTCCCCTGCAAAGCGCTTTTTTGGGAGGGATCAGGGATTTGCTTAGGCATGCGTATGTCTCTCTGTGTGTGCTTATACACTGGGAACAAGGGTAATAAAAAAGGAAGTAGACCCTGGGGGGTGAAAGAATCCACAGAAGCTGAGCAGACAAAACATGAGAGGAGAATATTTTGTTAATGACATTGTGAAGATGCCCTATAAAAAGTGAGTGAACTGTTCTACAATAAATGTCCAGTATGGAAGCAGCCAAGATTTCTCAGTAGTATCCTGTGGCTCCTTTGCTAGAAAACATGTGCTTCTTTTTTGGGGGGGAGGGAGCTCCTGTAAGGGAGTCTCATATTTTAACTGTTTCATGGCAGGCTAGCATGATGCAGCAGTATGGATAATCAGTTGGAACCTAATCAAGTTTCTCAGATCTTGGATCCATGCTTTGGAGTTGTTCGTGGCACTGACAACATTTGTGACTTGACCATTCCTCCTTCCCTCTGTCTCTCTCAGGATTTGTGACCTGGAATGACTATGCTGTTTCCTGGAAATTCCTATCAGTTTGCAAATACTCCTTGGGAAGTAGGTGAGAACTGGGTTCAATCTCTTTGGAAATTTGATCTACTCTTACTAGTCCAATGAACTTCTTGGGATGAGCACAGGGGAGCAAAACAGCTTCTAGCTAAAGTTCCTGCAGGGCTGTTTCTCCAGTTAGGACAAGGGTCCCCAAACTGTGCTTCATTCAGGTGGTCCATGACATGCAACCCGCCCTAGAACCTTATGGTGAAGTCCATTAAATTAATCGTAACTAGCAAGAACAATAATTTTGGGGATTGTTTCTGTGTAAATATGTACAGGCTCTGGTTGCATACCAGGCTAAAGTCTGGTTGTCATGCTCTCATGTTTTGACCATCAGATGTTCTTCTTCCCTAAGCCACGGGTGCTGTGCATCGGAAGGATTCAGAAGGGGAGACTGATGTGAAATTGCTGGTGTGAAAAAAGGCAGAAGGTGGAATCCTGGGATGTTTCTTCTTCCTGTCACAACCTTAACTTGCTTCTTTGTTTCTTTGTCGAGCGTTGCAGCGTTATGCAAGGTCATTTCGAGATCAGAGCCCTGGCCAGTGGCTTCCATACAACAGGGAGAAATTGAGTTGTAGTAATTGGAGACCTCTAAAGAAGAAGAAAAGGTTGCGGTCCAAATGAGCTTTTCCATTTGAGCCATGATCAGGGACCTGTCAGTGTCCACATTTTGCTGGACTCAAAACTCCTATCATCCTTGATGCCTGCTGACTGAGTCAGATGGGAGTTAAGAGTCCAGTAGAATTTGGGCGGCTACAGGTTGCCCATTGCTGTAGTAGCAGGAGCCTCAGTGTTAACCTAGCACAACAGGCATACCCAGTGCGTGATTTGGGCCAGTAGAAGTGTTGCACCCTGTCGACCCTGTCACATACTGTTTTGTTTCTGCCAATCCAAGAACATTTGGAAAGAACCAAATCCCCCACCTTGGAAAAAGAACCATTTATTTCCTTTCTCTGTTTGCTTTCCATCTTTTCCTCTTGCCATTTTGAAATGTTCATCTTTCATCCATGTGCTCCCATCAAAAATCAACACTGTATAATACCTGTTCATTAAAGACCAACTCTTTTAGCACTGCTTTCTCTGAAAAGTTGTTTTCTGTAAATATGTAAAGGGGGGGGGAATGACAAAAGTGGAGTTGAGTTGAGCAACTTTGGGGGGAAGCAACTTTGGGGGGGAAGCATGGGCGTAGCCAGGGAGGTGCAGGGGGCAGCAGCTCCCCCTAAATCAAGTAAATAAATAAAAATACTTAACTGACCAACTGCATCACAGATAACTTGGTTCTGCCCCCCCCCAATATAAAGCCTGTCCCCCCCCCAATAAATCCTGGCTACACCCATAGGGGGTCTAAAAAGCTTAAAAGGTGAAATTAGTGGATGTTGTAGCCTTTTTAAGGACAAAACTTGGCACAAGAGGGTTGATCCACATGCACACAAGATTTGGGTTTACCTGCAGGGTGTAAACATAATGTATCATATTACAGCCTTAGTCCTCTGCTATCTGTAGAGCCAATCTGCTTTTTGATTTCTTCACCTTGTATCCAAACTGATGTTCTTCACCACACAAGGCACTGAATGATTTTCTCAAAAAGGAGCAGTCCGGTGACTGATTTGGTCGGGGTGGGGAGTTGGCGAGCAATTTGAAGAGCAGCAGCAGCTCCCATTGGCTTCCATAAGATCCAACATTCTCTCAGGGGACTTTAGGGAGTCGGTGCTATTTCAGGAAGAGGAGTCCACGAGCGTTCCTCAGATACGTGCGAAGGATCCTGCACGAAGGATCTACAACATCGCACATCACAGAGATGTGTAATTTTAAGTCGTTATCCACTGCCAGTGAGAATCCAGCCATGCAACGTTAATGAGAAATTTATTTTGTGGGTGTGGGTGAGCGAAACATGACGATCTCTGTAAGCATTTTCCTGGAACGAAGAATTAATATATTTTGTAAGCGCAGCGTAGTAGCACGGGGAGAAAGAAACCATTTCAGCTGCCCAAAGGAACACTCTCCGGCTTTTCGCCGGAGTAGCATAGACTCTTGCTATTTTATTTCCCCCCCCACGCTAAATAATCCCGCCCAGACTGCAGGCGAGGCTGTTGAGCCTATGAAACCTCCCATACCAGCAGACTGGGCGCCTAGTGTTCTGGATAGCCGAGGGGTTCGGGCGCGGGGCTGCGGAGCCGCAAGGCGCCTCTGTCGCCGAGTTCGAGGTTCGCCGATGACAGGATGCGGCCCGCGGACGCCTGGCTTGACAACAAACCTGTGCAACCGCCGCACAGCCCAAACTACGGGAGAGATGAACCGCTGCTGCAGTTTCATCACACTGTACCTTTCATAGGATCGAAGGGGGAGGGAAAGAACAAAGTGAGCTGGGAACCTCCCCCCCCCAAAAAAAACCCCCACAACATTAGATCACGCGTAAAAGTGTCCGACAGGCGACTTCCTGTGCAAAGCGAGTGAATTGGCAAAAGCAGGAAAAGCTCCGGATTTAGTTCTTCCCTTCAGGGCGACTCGCTCTATTTCAGCAGAAGACACAGCAGAACGCGACGGGAAGTTCTCCAAGGGGTATTGGGATGGATCCGTGCGGGATTTGTTTTACGTCCTCAAAAGTGACTCTGGTGGGACTCGAACCCACAACCTTTGAATCGCTGCGCCACGCTAGAAGTCCAATGCGCTATCCATTGCGCCACAGAGCCGCGGGGCACGCTCTTCCCTCTGGCTCTTAAAAGGAGACTTACAGGTTATTTTAAGGCAATCCAGAACGTTTACATGGGGAGGCAGAAAGCACTTGCTTTGCGTTTGGAATTGCAGCCAAGCCTGGGGTGGCGAGTACTAGAAGAAAAAAAAAAAGAACCGACATGACTATTGGGGTTTTTAAAATGGACTAATAAGAGGAACAAAATCTGTGCACCAGAATTGGGGTTCGAGCCTAGGCAGGCTTATGTGTCGACTGGATCTCAAGTCCTACGCCTTAGCCATGGTTTACAGAATGGCCCAGTGGCTAACTTTTATCACTCCTCAAAATAAGGTGAATAAGTTCAGTGTTCGAAATACGGCTTACTATGAAAGCGTCTTTATTTAACAAAGTTCACCAGCTTTTAGCCAATGCTGAAGTTCTGATGCCTTAGTGAACCAGAAGCAGCAGCTAACCTAAGTCAGGCAGACAGAAGGGGGACTATTTCCTGCACCTGTCGATTTTTTATTTATTTTTGGATGTGTGTGCGCGTGCGTGTGTGTTCACACCGCTCAAATGTATGGATCCATTTCTTCCTATAATACGCAGCTAACTGAAAGTTTCACTTTGAGCTCCCCCGCCCCCCATGAAAACTTGGAAAGAGCTTTCCGGTGCTCCCTCGCGCGAAGCGGGGGGAACTTTCTCCGCCTCTTGCCGCGAGGAGACCTCCCTGAGTTTTCTCGCCGCTTTTGTTGCCTCCTGCCCTCCAGACCGTGGGATCAGATGCCGGGAGACTTGGAGGAGTTTCCGTCTTCCCGCCCGACCCGAGGCAGCAACAAATGCAAGTGAAAGAAAAAAAGCCTTTCCTCCTAGGAAAAAGAAATCCTTGCGCATGTATCCCCGGTAGCCGCTTTCCTGTGCTCGAGCCCGCCAGGGGGAGGCGATCATTCCCAGGTTCAGTCCCGGAAATCTCTGGGTAAAAGGATCAGAAAGAAAGCGGGGCGGAAGCCCTCTGGCCGTGACAAAGTAAAAAAGCATCCCTGCCTGGACTCCATGGCAGGCCTGGCCTGGACTCCATGGCAGAACAAGAGAAAAGGAAGCCCAGGGGACCTTGACTCTGAGATTCAACCAGGGCTAAGAAACCGGCCTTCCAGCTTCAGTCTGCGACCCATCGGGGAGCCACGTGGGCTCACACGCCGCAAGAAGCCACTCCAGCAACACGCGGCAAGGATTTTTACGCCACCTCTCCAAGTTTTAACTGAGAACGGGCTGCCTAGGAAGGGTTTCCTCGCCCTCTTTGCCAGGACACCGCAGACCCCACGGGTCTCTAACCGCAGGCAACTTAGAGGCGCCACTCGAGCCGCGGAACTGGTCCCTCTGCTTCGGCTGCAACGCACCACTTCCGGTGGGCGGACGACGACTGCGCGGAGGACTAGAAAGAAACACCTGTAGGGATCCTGCCAGTCAGTTGCCCTCCGGCCTGGCGTTCTATTTGTAGGGTTTTTCCTCAACCTGTGGGTCCCCAGATGTTGTTGAACTACAACTCCCATCACCCCTAGCTAGCAAGGCCAAAGCTCAGGGATGAGTAGTGCTCCCCTCCCCTTTAAAAATGTTTAGGGGTCCTCTCATTTTGACTCAAGAAAATCGCCATTTCAGTAGTTCTAATCGGGAAAAATAAATACAGTAAATGGACAAAAGTACAAAGATTCACAAAATGTTTAGGGGAATGCGCCCCCCCCAGGAAACAAGCACTGAATAGAAGATAATAAATACAATCAATATGGGGAACATTCGAACATTGCTCTTCTGCAACTCTTTTAAGTGCAAAAGCAGAAGCAGCAGATCCTGCGTCCTGAGCCCAGACGGCGTCCCCCATCCCCAGAGTGTTGAAACGGGTTGCCTTCAGTCCTTTGCTCACCCCATCGCTGCTAACATATCGGAAAATGCCAGCTTCGTCCCAAAAAGGGATGCTCCCTGCCCAGCGCTAGGTTCTCCGGCGCGTGATTGATACTGTGACCCTTCCATCATTTAAACTCCTTTGCTTTGCCCCTTTTAACTGTTCGTAGGAACCCCCATTGCCAACCCCGGAGCATTTCCAGCCCTGACTGCCGCGAAGCCGCGGACTTTTAGTGCAATGCCCGCAGGGGGGGGTTGGAGAGCTAGGGAGTTTAAGGATATTCACGTTAATCGGACATTAGCGTAAACCACCATAATGCACAAAATGTCTGGAATCAGCTCACTCGGAAGATATATAATAGCACAACTTAATGCAAATTCCCCAGTGGGTATTGGGATCTTTGGCAAATTTGTTTTCATCCTCAAAAGAAACCTGTGACTCTGGTGGGACTCGAACCCACAACCTTTGAATCACTTCACTACGCTAGAAGTCCAATGCGCTATCCATTGCGCCACAGAGCCGCGCGTTAGGTTACCTCCTCTGCCTTAAAGGACACTTTTATGTTACCTAAACAGTGGCCTCCATATGCCGGAAGTTTTCTTGGGGAAGTATAAAGCAGTTGCTTTAGGTTGGAAATTGCAGCTCCATCCGGGGCGGAGAGCAAGAAGAAAAAGAGTTAAAATGACTGGGGCGGGGAAGTTTAAAGCGGACTAGCAAACAAAAGCTCCCTCTCTTACCAGAAGTGGGGTTCGAACCCACGCAGACATATGTCTATTGGATCTTAAGTCCAACGCCTTAACCACTCGGCCATTCTGGTAATTATGGTCAACTTTGACAACACCATGAAATAAGCTGAATAACTTCAGCCTTTTGACGCGCGATACATCCGCCCCCCTGCTGGACGAAGAGCGTCTCCATTCAACAAGCTGCATCGAGTAGTAGCAGAAGTTCAAAACCCATCTCCTAGCTACCCTGCCTGCCAGGATTAGTGCGTACGACAGAGTACTACTGGAAGGGGCACGTTTCACACGAATAAATGTAAGAGAATTCATTTAGCACGGACGACTATAGTTGGCTAACTAGTAATAAATCTTACACTTTCACCAGACATCAGAAGGGGCTGTTTGGTGGGGGGGAAACTCAGATATGTTCTATGGAAGCACGCCATTATTCTTGTTTGCTTTCATACTGGAACAATAGGAACAAAGTTTGATCTTTACGTGTAGATAGATGCGTGCTCTCCGTCCCCACTCGAAACATTAGTGCCATTCTCAAACGAGGCCGCAAGGTGGCAGCACAACGAGCTGCGTCAAAGGCAGCGGCGCGCTGCGGGCGATGCTTCCTGAACAGAACTTTATCAGAAGCGAAGACAAAAAACATTGGGAAGAGAGCAGGTAGGTTTTTCTTTCGCCCTCCACCTGAATTAGACTGAAATTCTAGACACACCTACCTAGGAGTAACTACCGCTGAACTCAGTGGGGCTTACTTCTCAATAGACTTGCATAGGATTGCAGTAGTTTTCTTCCAGAATCTTTTAAAACATAACTGATTGCATTGTGCTTAATCTACTTTCAGTTATGTGCTTATATTTATCATGCTTGACTCCTTCCTTTCTTCCAAAGAGCAGAAGCCAGATGATACAGAAGTAACCTTTTGTCCTGGTTGCCTACCATGCAGTCCTGGTTAATTCAGAAGCAAGCCCCACTGAGTGCAGTGGGATTTATTCCTGGGTAAATGTGCATACATAGCATTGCATCCTTGGTTAGCTTTGTTTGCAAGCAAGCATTATTCTATGGGGAGATTGCTAAGGTGCAGTGAAGGCACACCGGGAGAAATCATAAATGATTTCAATCTCATGCTCTTCAGCTTTCCTGTGCCTGATTCCGACACTCCCACCTGTATTATCACATATCAGGGCCTGAGGTGGAAAACTCAAAAGGCACCTAAGTTTCATTTGACATAAAAGGAACCACTGTGGTGTAGTGGACTAGAGCCTGGGAGACCAGGGCTATCCCCCCTCGGCCACAAAGCCTCCTGGGCAACCTAGCACCAGCCACTGCCTCCCAGCCTAACCTACCATACATGGTGGGAGGGTCTAGAGATAATCCATAAAAAGCAGGTCTGTAGGCACTAGTCCACAAGTCTTGTCGCCCCCATCACTAATGTTCTGTGCTCATTGCAAATGTTATTTGAGATTCTGCAAATGGCTCCTAGTCCAGGGTTAGTGTGCCTGTTTTTCTTGCAACAGAAAAGTTAGATGGAAGAGGGTGGCTGAAAGGACGCCACTTTCACCATGTGATGCGTCAGTTTTCAATTTCCAGTGAAAACTTGCTTTGAAAGTTGTCCTTAGCATAAAATCTTCATGCTAGCTGGTGCGTCCTCAAACCCATAGCAAGAAACATTATGGTGGTAAGGGCTGCAAGCACATGAGGGGAGCACCTTAAGTCAAAGTACAAGAATCTGTATCTTGAGCATAATTTAATGCCATCTTGTCAAGCCTTGTCAGGGAAATTCCCTTGGGTGTTCAAGTATGAAAGGTAAAGGTAAAGGGTAACGGGACCCCTGACCATTAGGTCCAGTCATGACCGACTCTGGGGTTGCGGCGCTCATCTCACTTTACTGGCCAAGGGAGCAGGCGTACAGCCTCTGGGTCATGTGGCCAGCATGACTAAGCCGCTTCTGGCGAACCAGAGCAGCGCATGGAAATGCCCTTTACCTTCCTGCTGGAGCGGTACCTATTTATCTACTTGCACTTTGACGTGCTTTCGAACTGCTAGGTTGGCAGGAGCAGGGACCGAGCATCGGGAGCTCACCCCGTCACAATGATTCAAACTGCCGACCTTCTGATTGGCAAGTCCTAGGCTCTGGGGTTTAACCTACAGCGCCACCCGCGTCCCTATTAAGCAGTATAAAATGTTAATGAACATATAGGTGGTACTGGCAAAGCCCTGGCTGTTCTCTATCCTTCCAAAGAGGGTAAATCTCTTCAGGTAGCAGCAGGACAGAAATAGAGTAGCCAATTTGCAACCTAGAGAAAATCTCCCATTATTAATCAGCCATCCAGTGGAAAAGGAGAAAGCAGTCTCAGCTTTCCATTTTTCAAGCCAGCCACTCTTTGCACTTGGCTGGAGCAAACAGGTCTCTGTTTTTGACCCCAAAGATGGAAGATGCCATAGATATGGGGCCAAAGGAATAAACTGGACTCTGTCAAATATTATACACAAGGAACCCTGATCAGCTCCCCGGACAAGATGCTAGGCACTGGAAGTATATAGAGTAGGGGTGAGGAATCTCTCTTCAGTCTGGGGGCCGCAATCTCTTCTGGGCAAACTTATAGAGGCAACACTAACATAGCCTTCTCTATCCTTTATCAAGGCATCATCCAAGTTCGAGGACTGATTCCAGCCAGGCAAAAAACACTCAAGGAAGTTGTGAAGGTAAGGGAGTAGTGTGGACTGGGGAAGAGTGCTAGGGAGGGTGACTTCAAGAGTCCTGAGGCCAGTGACAAAGGCCTGATGTCCCACATCCCTGAGCTAGAAAGACACTCCATTTGTCATCCCTGTCATGCCATGGAATCAGTCACAACTGAAACAAGTGCTGCAAGCTTGCTTTCTAGGTATACTCAGTTTAAAAGCCTACTTTACCCTTATCCAGTCTAGAGTCCTAGCCTAGGGAAACATAAATGGTGATCATCCCCAGTATTTTCTCCACGGTCACTGATACTGACACACAGCACTGGGACTGAAGGAATCCCAAGTCCAGGGAGATTGTTGGCAAGGTTCAACATTTAGCAGAAAGCAGGCGCTGTCTGTCTAGTAAGCAAACAAGGATTTTCTTGCCCCTGCAAAAAACAGGACACACGCCTGGTGAACCTTAGAGATTTCAGAAGAGCCTCGTCAGAACAAAGGCCAAATGAAAAGGCAGACAAACACCTACTAAGGTGCCAAGACAGGAGGAGACAAAGGCTCAGAGGTATGTGTGCTCCCTTCTTAATCTTTGCCCCTTAAACCAGAATAAACTGACAAAACAGGGAAGTTGAAAAGGACAAAGAAGTCAGTTCAGGCCTGATAGTTGAAGTGATACACACAAAAAGCACTCTTGGATATTTCAGGTTTTATTATTTAATTTAGTTTTCTTGGAAAAAAGACAATAAGGCAAAAAAAAAATAATTCCAAAAATAGAATTGCAGGAATATTCTCTCTTAACGCCTGCCAATATCCTATGCAAGGATGTGTCAGCCTCTACAAGCTGCAGAAAACAGGCTTCAGACAGGGACTGAGCAGCAAAGAGCGCAGAGACCCCACCCAAAACCCCTTTCCTTCCCACTGAGCAGCACTGTCCTTTGCTGCTGGGGATGGCAGGGTTCACGGCCTCATTTCTACCTGCCAGCAAGGTGATTCCATCCCACCTGCAAGCATCCCAGGGAAGGAACGCCGCCACCTCTTACCCCTTCAGTGGCTAAAGTTTGGAAGTTGAAAGAAAAACACAGAAAAGAAAAAGAAAAAATGAGGATAGGAAACACAGAAGGAAGGCACCTCATTGTGTGATCCTTAGCCAAGGGCAGGGGCTGCCTTATAGTCCACACATACACATACACACACACGCACCCCCCCCCCCCGAGCGTTGGCTTGGCTAGAGCAGCCTCTGTGCCCTTGTCCACTTCAACACAGCGGCAGCACCTCTGTCAACCTTAGGATCCAGCTTTGGCAGCTGAGAGCAGAGCTGTCCCAAGGCCAGTTTGGGGAGTTCTTGCAGCCTCCTTATTTCACAGCGGGATCCATGGACACCTGGCTTGTGCCTGCACAGTGAGGAGCCTGATGCCAGTGAGCTCCAGCTCTGCATCAGATAGTGTTTTTTAAAATTTTATTTTAAAGAAGGCAAGGCAAGCAAACCATTGTTGACTGTCACGCTTTCTGCAGAGCGTCTCCCTGGATCCGGTGGCAGTGGAGGGGGACAGCTGGGGGCAAGTGTTACAAAATGGGGTCTGCAGGATAGGAGGTATAGGAGGGGAAAAACCAGAACAAAAATTATATCTCTTTTTTTCTCACTCTCTTTCTCTCTCTACATATATATAATATACATATAAACAGGTGCGCATTAAGCCAGAGGTTGCTTTAGGCAGAGGGGAGGCTGTGTCCTGCATCGCCGCTTTCCACCCAAGTGTATGTGGGGAAAATCTGAAGCCTGCTATGGGGAAGGGAGAACAAGTAAGTTTTATTTCCTACCATCGTATGAACAGCTGGTGATGTCACAAAGGCGGGTTCCGCTGAAACCAGAGCTACCTGCACCCACCCACTGCCACCACCCTGTGCCCGCTTCTTTAGGGCACAATTAGCTGCTTTGCCACCTGTGTGAACAAAGAGACAGTGGCTCCTGGAGAGAACTGGCACCCAGCTATCATCCTCCTGCCCACCCGATGTTTCAGAAACTTCTCCTGTAGGTAGAGTGCCACACAGGGCTTGGGAAGGAGGAAAAAGAGAGCAACCCTTATGGTCAAAAGGTCCCTGTATCTTCCCCAGCTATTCTCTTGGTGCATACATTCAAGGTCTTGACTACGGGCCCCTATCTGGAAGTAGAAAGGGAGGGCAATCCATGTAAGCACGGTGTTGCTCCCCCTCTTCCTCCCCAAATGTGGGGGGCTGCGAGCAGAACAATACTCTCTTTTGGGTGGAGAAATGGAGGGCACAGTCCTCTATTTCTACTTGTCCCCAGCCATCCAGGAATCCAGACACCAACTTCAGTTTCAATCAGCTAAGGCAACCCAGCCAATCACCACTGCTGGATTCTGCTTTGGGTGATTGATTCAAAACAAGTGATTGGTTAAGACAGACAGATTCGGTGAGGAAAGCACTAGGCAGGAAGTCACATGATCAGCCGCTCCCCCTCCATCCTTCTTCCACTACCCTCTTCTTTCCCCTCCATCCTCGTTAATAGTCCTGCTGCTTCCAGCTCAGAAGATGTCAGGGCACATGCTCCAGTCCTGTTTGTCTTTGCTCTCCCAGTAGCCTCCCCTGTACACATGGGACACCTCCTTGGTGTCAGGATCCTTCTTCCGCTCAAACCACAATGCTTTGTAGGGATCATAAGGAGTTCCTGCAGGGGAGGAAGGAAGGGGCAGCAGGAGAGGGAGGGAGGAAGAGAGGGAGAATTCTCAAATTAACAACAACAAATGGCATTTGGCTGGCATTTTTGCTGGGAAGTCAGTGCTATGCTTTTCCCTTAGTGAGGGGCCATAGTTCAGTGATGGAGCAACTCTTGATATGTCCTCTGCCCTTGGAAGTTTGGAAGGCAAGGTGTGGCAGCCCAGGAGAGGGCCTTCTCTGTGGCAACCCCTAAACTGTGGAATTCCCTCTCCGCAGAGCTGCACCTGTTCTTTTGATTGCAAACTGTTTTAACTGATTTTAACACTGTGTTTTTTACCCGGCTGTACACCCCCCTCCTGGGACCTTATGCAGAAGGGCTAGCAAGAATCCCAATACATAATCCCAATCATCAATAACGGCTTTGCAATGCAAGGCCCCAGACTCAATCCCAGGCACCTCCAGCTAAAAAGGATCATAGGAAGCAGGGTCAGCAACATCCACTCTGCCCAATATGCTGGAGAGGCATTGCCAGCCAAGAACAAACAAGACTCGGCTAGGAGGACCAACCACCTCACTGTACTTAGGCTGCTTCATATGTTCCTGTTGCCTTATCAGTGCAGGGGCAAGTGGGGCAAGCGCTTACCGTCCTCTGTCGCCTTCACGGCCTCAGCTTCACGTTTTTTGCGGGAGATGCGCTGCTTCTCCTCCAGGCGCTGCTTCTCTGCGTTGGCTTCATCCCAGCGCCCGTTCTCCATGAGTCGCTGGTCAGGCCGAAGCCTGCTGTCTGTGGGAGCAGTGCCACTTTCTGGGGCATTGAGCGTCAAAGCCAGCTCAGAGAAATAGTACATGTTCTCAGCGTTCTTCCTGCACCAAGGAAGGGGGGGCGGGGAGAGAGAGAGAGAACAAATTCAGATGGCAGAAAGGCTCCGAGTTGCCCTGGAGTCTAAGTTCTGGTGTAGAAAGCAAGCTTACTCTTCCTCTTAGGGTGGCAGGAAAGATACGCACACATTATCTAAGACCCTAGGTCACCAACTCCTTTTCAAAGGGTCAGTATACTTGCACCCAGGGCTGTGTATTTCTTGTGACCACGCCACACAAACACAGAAGTCTGCAACCTGGAGGACTGTTTCCATTTCCTCTTAAAATAGGCTTGCATGTGTGGACAATGCCTGATGGATAAGGGATGAAAGGTGAGGCTGGATTTCCAGGCTCTTCAGTGTCCTCCATTCTTTAGCCCATGACTAGCAGAAAGCGTATTTCCCGCACCCCACAGGACCCGCACACTTGCCATAATTTATACAGGTCTCAACTCACTTTTTCTTGGGAGGAACACACACAGTACACAAAGGCATTGCTGATTACAAAGGCATGCTCTAAAAGCAACAACCATAACCATGTTCTGCCATCCACAAAAGCCAGTTGAGACAATAGTCATATTGGTTACGCAAAGGAGAGCATGGCCGTGCACCAGCTCCTCACGGGAGGAGTCAGGCTACCTCCCTTACTCACGGGAGTGGGTTCCTCTTCCACAGCATGACCCTGCTGTCCTCTGCTTCGTGCGCTCTCTGCCGGCTGTCGCCACCATTCTCCAAACTGGTTGTCACCCTGAAACAGTCCATCTTCTCGTCCCAGGTGCCCAGCAACACAAAGTGCACTCTTCCTGAGGGATCTAACACCTCTCCAGTAACCTGCCATAGAAAGGAGTTCAAGAAGGTCCAGCAAAGTTACGTACAAGCCCACCCAGGCGTCAGAATTGCATTATAGTCTCCCCATGGCTAACAAAGAAGCTGAAAAGCACCCAGAGCTGTTCTCAAGAGCTGGTCTGCTAGGACTCCAGAGTGCAGCTGCAATATTCAAAGAACATTCTCTAGAGGTACTGGCTTAGCTGCCTAGGTCACTGCTGTCCATGTGACCCTTCCTCTTATGTAAAAGGCCCCTCCTACCACTAAACAGGCCTTTCACCTCTCTCTGTTGTAGACGGCCTGACATTGTTCTTGCCATCCCCACAGTAAAATGCTTTAGTACAACATCTCTTACCTTTCTGGCCACATCTCTTGAAAAGTAGCTATATGGAACAAACTTGAGAATACACTTCTCGCTAGTCTTATGGTTCAGAATTTCAATCTCACCAGACTGGAAAGAAAAAAAAAGGGAGGAATAAAGTCAAGCAGGTTCAGGACCATTTATGCAGTCCACTAAAATGCTTCTGTAACAGCTGAGCAGATCATCAAGAGTAGCAACTCAATGGGAAATATGGAAAATGGACCTCTAAAGTCCTGGCTATCAGAACTACCCTCCAAGCACACTTTGGGCTGCAGTGCTGCCTTCACAGTCCCCACCACCACCACTTTTAACTCACCTGGTCTATCCATAATTTGCCGACTATGATGTTGTGCACTGTGGTGGTAACCTTCTTCCATGTGTAGTGATTGCCAGATGCATGAAAGATACAGTGGATGGTACCTAGAAATAAGAATGTGCTTAGGATGATTTCGCATTGATGCAGAATCCTTGCTAGGATGAAAAATACGTCGAAGTCTAGTGCACAACAGCATTTTGACTCAGCTCTGGTCGATCTAGGTACCAATCCCTGGTCAGCTAAGGATGACCTGATTGCCCCGTTCTCCACAAATGCCCATTTTATGAGCACCCAAGCTACGCATGTGTTCTTAATACCCCTGAGGGGCACACAGCAAGGGTGAATGTGCTAATGAATGCCCTAAAAGGTGCTGTGCATATGAGATGCCCATCGTAAGTGGCTCAGCTATGTCCCAGACAGCCTGACTCCAGGCTGGAGACCCTGGACTTTGGTAAAAGATGGGAAGCACAGATGGAATTCCGTCTGTCAATGGGCACCATTAGCTTTCCATGTCCCTTTAAAACAGCAGGCACCTCAAGGCAAAGACTCACCAAGGGGCATAATTGAGAGGTATTTGCCACGGAACTTGCTGGTGATTTTAATTTCCTGACGAAGGGTCCAGCCGTGCTTGGAATCAGCATGATGGGCAGCAGCTGGAGGATGGTGGCTCACCTAGAGGGCAGGACAGAGAGAAGTTAAGGAAGAAGAGTGTATTCAGCAGGCGAGTCGCCAGGAATATGTAGAAGCAGGAAGAGCTGACAGCAGACACCCCCAACAGATACATCACCTGAGCACACTGACTTGAAAGGAAGTGCTACTGAAACACAACAGAACTTAATTTGCTTAAGACTGAAATGTATCTTCCATGCATCTGGAATCAATCAAGTATTCCAGCTCAGAGTCAGACAAGGGATGTGCCCTGCTCGTCACCTGCTCACAGATGGAACGGTAGCCGTTCTCCTCCAGCCGGTCTAGCTCAAAGGTTTCCCCTAAGAGAGGGTTGAATGGCTTGCTAGTGCGGAAGACTGTGGTGGAGTAAGACGATACGGTAAATGCAGCCACATAGCAGAGCTGCTCCAGAGAGCTTTCACACTTGGCTGCCCGGTCCAACAGCTCGTGATATTCCAGGTCCTCTGTGAGGCGCTGCAGCATAGATAAGGGCTCGTTGAAGTTCACCTGGAAGAAGCAGCAGCAGGTGTTAGGCAGGGCAGCCACTCTGGGGCAGGGCAAGGCAAGTCTGGATGCAGCAAGCACACTCCATGTTCCTACAGAGTCTCATTTCACAGAGCTTGTTGGGTTATAGAGTTGTGGCTTCCCACCCCTTTCCTCCACAGGACAGCAAGCCCCAGATCTTACTACTCAAGCTAGACTTAAGGGGACTCACTGGCATGGGAATCTTGGAGAGTTCCTTGCCAATACAGTTCTTCATGATGCTCCACAAGTTCAGGCTGTAATTTGGTTTGTGAGGAATTCGGGTTCTCTTCTCCTTCTTGGTGTCTTCCATAAACTGGTGTTTATACTTTGGGAGAGAAAGGAGGCTAGTCAAGACAGGTGGGAAGGCATAAGCTGGACAGTGAATTCTATAGAGTCTTGTAAAAGAGGTTCCCAATTTAACTATAAGCCTTGGGCAAAGTAAACAACTCTTCCATGACTTGAGCACCTTCATCTATGCAGAAAGAGGTTCTTAGCCATGCCCAGAATCACTAAGCTCAGTGCAGTAAGACCAGTCCCAAATGGACAGAAACGTGGAACAAGGCAGAGCCTGTAGCCAACATTACCCCTGCTTTTCCAAGCCTTCAATAAGCTCCATCATAAAGTATGCCTCAAAGTATATTGAGCACTTGCAGGCTTACAGGAGAAGGACTAATGAGACCCATCAACCCTCCAGGTGGTGCTATGCATCCCATCGTCCATGCAGACTGTGGCTCATTTAGGGGATACACTGCTGAGGTACTCCAGAAGCTTGCGAAGGACCCACTTGTTCCAGCTATCTCCCTCTGCAGGGTCCCAACAGCATCTGGTGAAAAATGTTGCTTCCCTCCCCCTCAGATCAAAGACATGGACTACCTGCTCATCGAGGCTGATTTCACTGCTAGCACCACTGATGTTGCTTCCTGTTCGTCTAAAGGAATTACAGAAAAACACACCATGAGAAAACTAGGATGTTCCAGTTGAAATAATGTGCTATCAGGGAAAAAATATGCACAGAGAACAGTGCTGCCAAACACCAAACAGAGTATCTAGTTTGTCAGAGTTGGACAGCAAGTATAACCAGGGCCACCAATCTATGGATCTATCGATCTTTATTTATTAAGTTAAAAGGCAAAATAAAATTACCGAATGGTGCCCATGGACTACTTTTAAGGAGTCAGTGTAGTGTTCTGATTTGCCAGGTCTCCTGTTCTACTTTCCTCATTACTATCCTGTCCCTTTATTAATTTAACCTGCAATTGGGGGTGGGGAATCACAGCAACTGTATGCTCTTACATCTGAATAACCTAGAAGCATGAGACTGTTGTCTGGTGACAGCTGTACATGTTGTTTGGGTATGCGACAGAAATCTATTATTTCCATTTCTCTCTCCTTTGAAGCTATGCACCGCTTGCTTGAGCCTGAAGTCACTGGCAGCCATACCCAACTAAATTACTGCAACAATGTGTTCCAGAAACATAAGCTGGCATGGAGCACAGTTGCCTAATTGCTGACAATGTAAGGTTGTCTGATCATGTTTCACCCACTCTGGAAAACAATGTTGTCTAAGCTGTCCTTGGGTGCAATTTCAGGTGCTAGTCTGGACCTTTAAAGCACAAAGTCAGTGGCAACTAACCTGTGCCCCTCCAGATTTTGCTGGACTCCCATCAGCCCCAGCCAGCATGGTCAACGGCCAGGAATGATGTGAGCTGTAGTCCAGAAACATCTGTAGAGTCACAAGTTAAGACATCCCTGCACGAAGTAATCTGGATCCTGAATATCTCAGCGAGCTCTCAATAAGAGTGGACAGCATTGACTTAGGTGGACTAATCACTTTTATTTTATATTCAAGAGATTTCCTCTCCACCTTTTCCTCCACCCCTCTCCATTCTCTCTTCCTTTTTCTCCTTTGAAGGCTGAGGCAGCAAGATGCCCCAGTTCTATAAAACACACTTAACAGGGGAGGAACACACAGAACCTGCTTTGGTATGTTGAATTTCACCCAGGCAGTTTGTCCCCCTCTAACCTATGGCACAGGCTATGGGAGTGGGAAAGCATCAAAGGTGAGGGAAACACCTCAGTAGTTTTACAAGTTTGCAGTGCCAAAGGCTGATGGGTGCTAAGTGTCAGCTGAATGGGAGAGGGGCGCCACTTACTTATGGCCCATGCTTTCAGGCATGGTGATGATCTCAGGGGCATCAAAGAACTCATTATCATCGTCTTCATCACTCATATCTCCCTTTGATGGGCAACATCGATCTGTAAGAGGAACACATGCTGATGTTATCTTTCTTGGTTTTAGTTACTAGTACTTGATTCCAAATACTTTCGGACTTTGGGGCAAGCATCCCACAACAGAAGCAATTTTGAATAGGAACCCACAAAGGAAAGGGCAATGGAGACTAGCAGAAGAGCTAGAGCTTGGCTGATAGAAGAGATGGAGGCCAAAGCCCTCCATTCCTACCTTTAGAAGAATCCATGCTGCCGGGGGCATTGGCTGGTAGAACTGTCGCTCCACGGAAGGCCCTTTCCAGGTGGTTGTGCTGCTTCGCCAGCTGCTCCAGGGTCTCCTCTAAACGGATGCGCTGGTCTCGCTCATACTGAAGGGACTTCTGCCACTTCTTGCTGTGCGTCTGGGCCAACATCAGGAAGTCTCGGCAAGCCTGTGGGGAGCACCAAAGCGAGGTCTGTATGGGCCCCGGACACTCGGCTGGCCCAAATGTCACTCCAGCTGTGAGGCCAACACTTCTTGTCTTGCTGTGCTAGTCAAACGCCAACTCCTGCCTTCATATAGTTCCTCCCATGGTGCCACCGGGTGATCACTTTGCTCTGTAGCATTGTAGGGCTGGCCCCGATTCTGGCCCCGATCAAGCTGCACTGCAGCGCCTCTTGCTGCCCCTGCTCTTAAAGTGGGTTAACAGGAACTGCTGGGGACAGGTGCCCTTTCAGGACACTTTGCTCTTAACTGCCCCTCCCACTCGGAGACCCAATAAGCATTCACCAGTCTCCTAGCAACTTCACCATGGACACTCACTGAACAGAGATGCTCAGAGAGACATGGGCAGGGACACTCGTCTGCTAGAAGCCCAACCAAATATTCCATGCAAAAGGCTGCAAACACGCCCCCAGCAAAGAAATCTGGGCAAATCACAAAATACTGAAAATGTGACTCCTGGACCTTCATGAATTAAACAGAAGCTGTTTAAATGTTACCCCTAGTTGATTAATTTGTCCTAAGTGCAAAATGGAGCAGTAGTTACACAATAAAAAGGAAGGAAGGAGGGGAACTTCAACAACCAGTACTCAGGGGCAGGAAAGCTGAGGCTGTGGTCTGTACAGGGGGCAAGGAAGGGTCAAAAGTGGGAAAACCTTCCCAGGCTCTGCTCTAAACTCAGACACTTTAAGCGGACTGTTTTAGTTTGAGCATTTGGGATAAAATGCTGTAATTTAGTATCTGTCCAGAAGGTTTTGTGGAAAAGCACACACTTAAAAAGGCAAAATAAAAAAATGCTAGGAAATTTGCCTGTCTGATAAGATGCTCTGCATATCTGGCAATGGAAATGCATCAATACAAATCTTGCATCCTTGCTTAAGGCAGCAAAATGAACAGACATGTATGGAATACTGTATTTACTCGAATGTAACGAACACCTTTTTTGGCCATATTACATAGTGAAAATTAGGGTGCGCTTTAGATTTGATGGTGCATTTATATTCGCCAGCAAATACTTTTCTCGTTTCAAGGTTTTGAAAACTGAGGTGCGCATTAGGTTCAATTGCACATTAGATGCGTGTAAATATGGTACTAATGTTGGTCAAAGAAAGGTAAGACTTTCAGACCAAGTAATCCTTTGCTCCTAAATATATACCAAAACAGGTCTTGTCTTCTTTTTGACTTCCTTTTGAACCCACCTAGAGGTTTGCTATATATCTGAGGGGCAAAGGTAGTTAACAACAGAATTTATAGAATGTAGTTCCTATTCAAATTCTTGAGTAATCCACAGTGGTAGGCTTTTATGGTATAAAACTGTCCATGCTTAGTTAAAAACTTTCTGTTTAAAAGCTATTGTGATGTCATTCCATCTTCAAAGAAGTGTATTCCAGGTTTGTATTTAACAACTTCTGGTAGCCATAGGCAACCAGGAATTCCACACTGGCAAGGAAGTGCACAGAATTCCATGCAAACCAGTAAGTGGGCTGGTGGAAAAGGGATGGATTGTTCTGATCCTGGTATATACCCAGCAAGGAAGCATAGCCCACTAGCTTCTTAGCTGGCTAGTAAACAATTTTGCTAGTTGGTAATTCTTGTTGACATATGTCTAAGGCTGTCATATTCCCACTTTAAGGGAGGGCTTCACCTAGTGGTCAGCTTCATTGTTACAGTTCGCCAGTTGCTTCAAAAACACCAATGATAGCATCTACTTGCCTGAGCAGAACAAGCTATAGCTTTTCTAGGAATGACTTACAGAACTTTGGGACAATTTAGAGGTCTTCTCCATATTTCTGGAGTGTTTGCATAAATCTTTTGCTTTACAGTTTACTGTTTGCCCCAGGGTTGTACCATGCCCTGGTCAAAACAGAAATCCTTCCCTGACACTTGAACCATACAGTGGTTGACCTGCAAAGGTGGGAGGTGAATTAGACTGTCACCTGATTTAGGCAAGGAAGGTGCACACTTATGTAAATCCCAGGAACATGGGATGCAGAAGGAAGACATGCAATACTGGCAGCGACCAGAGTTGAGTCCAAAGATAAACCCGTCTGCAATAGTCTCTACTGCATTAAAGCCATCCCAGAGTACAGAGTTTGAGGAGCAACAGTAGACCGGAATTTACCAAGAGGACGCTCTCAGCTTTGATACTGTGAGACAGTAGGCGGTACTTTGCTCAAGTGAGCTGGTAACTACTGGAAACTGGAGAGAGGAGCAAGTTTAAGGACCAAGAACAATACTACACAAAGTGCAACCGCATGTAGCTGTTTGTTCCACTGTGCCCAGTTGAGCTCTCCCCCATAGAATTGTAGCTCAGAGCCTTTCTGGGATTCTGACTGCTCAGGGATCTCTTGCCCTCTTAGAGACACTTCTGGATAGATTGCTGCCACTTGAGGCTCAGGTGGCCTCGGTGGCATGGAGTGCCTTCCATCAGCTTCAGCTGGTGGCCCAGCTATGCCTCCATAAGGAACAGCCTAACTTCTGTTGTCTATGCTGCTCCGGTAACCTCTAGGCTAAATTACTGCAATGCACTACACATGGGGCTGTCTTTGAAGATGGTTTGGGAAATGCAGATGGTGCAGAATTCAATGGCCCAGTTGCTCACTGGCAAGATGGTCTGAGCACATCACACCAATCCTGGCCTGACTGCACTGACTACCAATTTAGTTTCCGACCCCAATTCAAAGTGCTGGTTTTGACTTATAAAGCCTTATGTAGCTCAGGACCTCAATGCCTCCAGGACCGCCTCTCCCTATATGAATGAACCCAGACCCTGCAATTGTCATCTGAGGAGGTTCTTCATGTGCCCAATCTGCAGGAGGTCCGGAGGGCAGCAACACAAAAATGGGCCTTTTCAGTGGTGGCTCCTTGCTTGTGGAATGCTCTCCCCTTCATTGTGTATCTTTAGGCAGTAGGCAAAAACATTCCTTTTTTGTCAGACCTATGGCTTTTTTTGCATAGGTGAGATATTTTAATTTAGTTTTTTTTAAGAATAGAATATTAAAAAGACTTTTTAAAAATGCTGGTTTAATGCATGTATGTGTTTGCTCAAAATACTTTAAGTCACATTGAGTTGCTGTGGCAAAAAAGCAACTAATAAATAATATTTATAATATTTATAATAATAATAACCCCCTTGCAAAGTCCTCAAAGGCTGGCCTGATGGCAACCCCCAGTAGATGGGAAACAAAGCTACACCTGTGATGCCATGGGTCTGGTGATCAAGTCCGCAAAATCTCAGCATCCTACGGCCCTCAGCCCTTAATTCTTCTGAAGGCTTTCTCTTTACACTTCTCCTTTCTGGTTTGCTCCCCGATTGTAAAAATCTGATTTGATGTACTGTTTATGAATTACAATTCCCATCACGTCCTTTTCTTATACTGAGTCATGCCTTCAATGCAGTTCTTTCAACTGGCCACAGTGTGGCCACACTGGGCTAAGAAAGCACAGCCAACTAACTACAGGGGATTCAGGACGAGCAGAAGCTTATATATTTTGCTAAAATGGGTGATGTCACAGACGGCTTATAAATCCAAAACCCACCAGATCATCTCTCTCTTCTCAAAAGAGGGAAATGCTGCAGTGGCTCTGAAAGTTCTACAATTAAAGCCTGCAGAGCCAATGATCTGGGAAGCACCCAGCGGCCCCCTTCCCGCCGGCCGGCTCAGAGCCAGAGCGTCTGGCAGCAGCACACTTACATTGATCATGGCATTGGACGTGATGCGGAAGAGGGTGGCGCGCTCGTTGACCTGCTTGATCTTCTCGTTGCTCTCGGCAGGCAGCTTGAGGGTCTCCAGTTCGCTGAGCGAGCGCTGCAAGGCCGTCCCGTGCTTGGCTATCAGGTCGTTGCAGGTGCTGAGATCCTCCACCTTGCTAGAGAGGGTGCGTAGGGTGTTCTGCAGTTCCGTCTTGTCTGTCTGAGACACTGATTCTTCATCACCCGACTCATCTGTAGGGAAAAGGCTGCAGCTTTTAACACCTTCAAGGCAAGGCTCACCCTAGAAGCAGATGCATTTCCAGGTCCTCCTTTATTCTCAGCACTGGCACCTAGCTTCAGGGGACTAAAGGCAGCCTGTTTCCTCTCCCCACCCCCCACCATTATGTGATCCCTTTCCATAGTCCAGTGAAGATACTGGCCAATGTTGGGGCTACAGGTAGCTAACAGGGAAATCTCTCTTGCCAGTTCAATGGTTTGTTGAAGCAAAGGACAGGATTTCTAATCCCACCCCTCCATTTTAGCAAGGAACTAAGGTGTAAATTGTGGTACTACAGATATTATTGATTTCAGGGTTGGTGGTGTTTTGTTTTTAAAAATCCTTTTCTGAGTATATAGACACAAAGCAGTGGAATCAAAGCAGAAATCAAACTTGCAGTGATAAAAAACAATAATCCCAAAGCTAATTGGGAGCAATAAAGACAGTATAAATATTCAAAGGGTAAAGATCATTGGGAACCTCTGAAAAGTAGCAGCTTTAAGGTCTGATTTCACTATCTGTGCTCCTTAAAGCAGAAGTGAGAAATATATTGGCAAAACCAAGTATCCCACGCCTACTGTATGCAACACCTCCTAGTTGCAAGCCATGAGTCTATTTATAAGAGTTGTGATGTTTAAACACATTTCTCCACACTGCAAGATCATGCCATTTCTCTGGAAAGTCTTACATTGTTCGGAGCCCAATCTCTTGTGTAACTTTCCTCCCTCCAACAGTGGGTTTATAATGTTAGGAATGCTCTGGCGAGTGTGTGGGTATAGGTCTTTCTCTTGCAATACCAGAACTCAAGGTTACCCTGTGAAACCGATTGGTGGTAAGTTCAAGACAGGCAAAAGAAAAGCAGCTGTTTCTCTTGAAGTAGTTAACATATGGAATTCAAACACCGTAAGCAACCACTAAATAAAAATGGCCCCTTGTTTTTCTTTGAAAAAGATTGGACAAAATGAATTTAGAATGTGTCTTTTAGGTATTATTAGCAATGATACTTAAATGGAACTCGCATGCTCAGTAGCAAGATGTTGGAGATAAACAACAGAAGACCCATCTCTCTCTCTTTTTTGGGGGGGGGGGTACATTGGAGGAAGACCATCACTTTTCATGCCCTGTTTGTGAACTTTCAGAGGCATATGGCAGGCTGCTCTTTAAATGAGGAACTAGATGGACTTTTGGTCCAACTCAGCAAGACAGTCCTTACATTCTAGTGATTAAAAAACACACACAAATGGTTGGCTCACTCTTGTGCTTCGTCATTACCAACAAGTAATGAGTCCCAAAGTAGAATGATAAGGAACTTACAAAAAACTATCCGATCGGATGGGGGAATGTCTGCTGCAAGCAATCAAGAGAAATACTATTCAACAATGAGACATGAAATCGCTGAGGGGAAGAGTACATGAGAGCACAGTATCTAGAAGGCAACATTTTGAGTGTCAACATAGCAGATAAATTAGATAAACACGCAAACAGAGAGAGAGAGAGCAGGTATTAACATTTGGGAGTCGGAGTTTCAGTATCATGAGCTTGGAATCTCATGCTGTAGATAATGACGATGCACACAAATAAATGCCTCTCTCTCCCATTATTTCTTTAGCTTTAGGTTTAAAAGGGGATGGGGGACCGGGATACTGAAAATTCAACAGAGCTAAGAAGGGCTAATATTTGAAACTCTGATGCCTAAGTCACAACACAATCTAATGTTACTGGGCAAAGGACATTTTGTTTTGAAAACACTGAAGAAATTCTTTCTGGTAAAGCTGCCAGATACCTCTTCTTTTTCTTTAGAATTCTATGAAAATAAAACAAAACCCCCATCAGTAGCTGGTGGCACTTTTTCCACTTCTTTCCCCTTCTACACAGAGCAAATATGTCCTACAGAGAAGAGACAAACATGTTTGAGACACCAGATGGGGGGACCCAGGAGTCGAGGGACCAAAACTCCTTCAATTCAATGCATGATTTATTCAATACAAAAATGGACATTGGGCACTTGCTTTTGACACTTATTTTACCTAATCAGATACATCAGCTACTGTCAGCTACTGACAGATGCTTTAGCTCAGGAGCCACCAGATTATAATGTGAGGCTCAGCTGATTGGGTGATGTGCAAAGCAGATTTGGTACTGACTGCTAAAATGCACTTTTGGTTTGGGAAACAGAAAGCTAACCATTCTGAAAAGCCTGATGCTTAAAAATATAGCCACATTTTCCAGAGGCCTCATGCTATAAACCACAATGGCCCCAAGTGGCCTGTTTCCTTGGTATGTCACACGCACAAGGCAAAGGACACCGAGCAATTTGTATGAGTAACAAACGTTTGGTGTTTGGCAGAAAACCTTGCCCCAAGGAGTTGGAGCTCTAAATAGGATGGAACAGGACAAACTGGAAGAGATGCGCCCTCATGTTAACCCCATGGCCTAGAATAGACTAGGAATTGTTCTCTGCAGGTATTTTAGCCTATATGCGTTTCACAGGTGAGGCTACCTACCAAGGGTAGCCCAAAATCACAAACAAACAAGCAGGGTAGGATGAGGAGAACAGAAGACTCAGCTACTTCCTGTTTGCCCCAGTGCTATTAGCCAACACCAAATCTGCTCAGAAGATCTCATTTCTCCATTTGTCATATTGATTTTCCTGGGTGTCTCCCTCCACAATAAGCTCTCTTGAGTTTCTCAGCGCTCACCCACACCCACCTCCTGCTTCATTTGCACTGCCCTGAACACACCCTTTACCTGATTCTGCCAGCATCTTGACAGCTTTGGCCTTGGCCAGCTCTAGAGCTGTGACCCAGCGCTGCCTCTCAACCTCTGAGTTGGCCTTCAGGTGGTAGGTCTGTGCCCCTCCGTTGGAAATGATGAAGTTGCAGGAGTCCTCCACTGTGATGTTAGCCGTGGCCAGGTTGATGGTTCCACGGCAGGTGTGTCGCATCTCTGCCTTCGATCTGCCAGAAGGACAAAGTAGGAGGGCGGTCACCAGGGCATGAAGAAGCACAAGCTTCAGAGGTCTAATCTCAAGACGCAGAATAATGAGACAAGGGTACCACATTTGGGAACAGGCAGCAAGTGAGAGTCCTAGGTATCTGTCATTTCCAGGGCAATAGGGAATGATGGGTCAACAGCTACAAGGAATAAACACCACTGTGTTTCCCTGACTGGTATGTAAACTGTCTGCTGCTATTCCCACATGTAGGTAGCTGTCTGAGAATGTCCACCACAGCAGATTGCTGAATGGGAGCCACCTGATGCCATGAGATTCAAATAATAAAAAAGGCAGATGTCTAGTTCTTGAAACAATGGAAGTCAGCTAGAGGGGAGGGGGCAGAAATGTGCAGGTGGGATTTTTTTCAAAATGAAAAGATTGAGAACAGGAAGGGGATTGGCTGGAAACTTAAGTGGACTGCGATAGTAGCAGAACTTCTTCTGTCTAGTGCAACTACGAATAAGAATTCTATTGCCTTGCATTTCTGATCCTTTCAACATACCTCTAGCTTACAGGCACACCCTAAACTTCAGACAACCACTAGTTATCCTTTGTGCAGCACTGTTTTGATTTGCAAACCTTTTGGATGTGCTTTAGCTCTCTTGACAACCTGGTGAGGCAGCAATTTCCAGAAGGGCAGCAAAGACAAATACTCCTTTTGGTGAGGCAGGTGAATAATACTTTATGGATGGAAAAGAAACTAGCAACTTGGCTAATGAGTCCATGACGGAAATGGATTATGGAGACCTTAGTTTGACTCATTTAGGAGGCTTTTTAGATAAAAACAAACATGCATGAAAACATGGCTGGATTATATACTACAGGTGATTGACATGGGAAGGATTCAGTCATATGATCTATGTATCTAGATATCTAGCCTTCCCGCTGCCATATTAGTTTTCTTTGTGTAGGACTTATTGATGGTCCATGGAGGAACATGAAAATCAAGTGCAGACTGAGGTACTAAAGTCCAGGAACAGTTTTACCAGAGGGCTATTTGTCCAGAGCTGCCTCCTGCTTTGGACCGTATTAGCTGGGTTTCCAAGTCCTACCCCGTTTCCCAAAATTATGCAGTGGTACCTTGGTTCTCAAACGCCTTGGTACTCAAACAGCTTGGAACCCAGAAGTAAGTGTTCTGGTTTGTGAACTTTTTTCAGAAGTCAACCGTGCTCTGTTTTGAGTGTTACACTTCCAATTTGAGTGTTACGCTGAGGTCTGTCTGCTTTTGGTATTTATTTTGCGGTTTTGCTTCTGCGGCTCTTTTTTGTTTGTTTTTGCGACTGTGTGGAACCCAGTTCAGCTACTGACTGATTGATTGTGACTGCAGCACATTGTTTATTACTTTCATTTTATGGATCAATGGTATTGTTAGATAGGAAAATTCATGTTAAATTGTTGTTTTAGGGTTTGTTTTCCAAAGTGTGGAATGGATTAATCCATTTTGCATTACTTTCTAAGGGAAGCGCGCCTTGGTTTTGGAATGCTTTAGTTTTGGAACGGACTTCCGAAACGGATTCAGTTTGAGAACCAAGGTACCACTGTATAACCAAACTGTCATCTGTCCAATGTATGGCAATCAGATACAGTCTGCACAAAGTTGTAGGCATCCTGTCACTTGCGTTGACTAATCATTAAACTGACGTGCTGAAAGTTAGTGAGCAAGTTATTTACCACTCACTTTCTCAAATGCTTGGCAATACTGCACAACCCAAATAGAAGTTGTTTCCCCACTTTACAAAATATGTAAAGCGATTCCCTGGCTGGGATGACCCCCTTGAGTGGGGCAGAAGGGAAGGAAAAGTCTCCTCTCTGTTACTGTGATCACTAGTGGCAGGCATTTCTATTAATAGGGCAATCTCTTGAACTTTGCAGAGCGTCCTGATAATTTCAACAAGCTGGCCGTCCCAGCCACACACGCAAGAGCGGACAGGCCAGATGGTGGGGGATTTTACATTCAATATTGGGACTCGGCCAGACTTGTAGGAGTTTGGGGGCGTTAAAGCCAGAACTAGACGCAGACCAATGCGTCTAAACTCAGAGAAAATGCTTGATTCTCAAGAAGCACATTCACAAGATAAGGGTGTGCATGCATGCGTGCGTGCATTTGTGCACCACCGTCCTTCCCAAGCTACAAGACTCTTGTCTACATGCTCATTAATGCAATGCACATACACAAATATATGAATATTTATATTATGGTTTCATTCACTGATGAGTGTTTTAGATAAAGTGTAATGGTAATTCCACAACACAGAAAAATTGTCTGCGATTCCTTCAAATGTCCAGAAATTTGGCATTTTTACCCTCTCCCTCAAAACACAGGGAGAGATCTGTCTCAACACCAAACAATGAAATGAAATATTGGGCTGAAGGAATTACGGGGATAGACAGAATTTGCAGCAGCATCCAGAAAAACCAAGTTTGATATTGGGTCTACATGTAACCTATTGAACTTGAGCCACTATACAATGGAAAACAGTAATATATCTATTATAGATATTATTATAGGTACAATTATTAAAGATATCATTATCTTTTATAGATATTATTCAACAGAGCAGATGCACTGAAATTCATTTCAAGGGATCTACTCAGAGCAAAAGTTAAGTCAATTACCACCCAGCCGATTCATTTGCACATTTGTATACAGTATATGTGTATCACATATCCTCAAGACACAGGCCTACAGGGAATTCCAGAGCTTGCCAGGAAGTCTCATGGATGGGAGCCCAGTGTGGATAAGGCAGTTGGAATGCAAAAGGCCTCCAGACAGCCAGGCCACCATTCATTTCAGTCCCCAATTTTCTCAGCATTCCCTCTGCCCAAGGCTGCGCTTACAGCTTTCCCAGTTTTGCAGAAATGACTAAGTATACATTCCGCCTACCTTAAGGCTCGCCAAATCCCTCCCCACTCTCAGCCCAAGACAAGAACAAAGTTCCCTATGTATTGACCTGGTACAAGGCAGAGCCATCTCCTTTCCACTGCAAGGCTGAGTAGCACATAGGCAACAACAATGCACACACACAGCCTGCTTGGGGCTGGCACAGAGAAACTGCCAGAATGCTTCATCGCAGAGGCCCCGGGTTTACTGCTTCCTCCTAAAGCTTGGGCAGAGGGTAACTTGGCATTCCTTCCTTCCAGCAGGCTGAGTCCACTGGGGAAATATGAGCCTTGCTTGCCAGCTATTCTTATCCTCCAGAGTCCAGTTACTTTATGAATAATACAGACCAAACTACGGGAGAGGCGCTAACAAGTCAGCCATCTCTGCCTGAGTAAGGCATGGCTCCCTCAAAATATAGGCCTTTAAATTAAATGTTCGCTGGCTAAAAACCAGGATGTCTACACAGGGGCAAATTCCCAAAGAAGTGGCACAGGGTGATTTTAATACCTTTGGCTAGATTTGGTGTGAGGAGAGCAAGGGTCTGCACTAACAATGCAGGCTTGATGTCATTCAAAGATGAGTAGACAACACACAGAGGGAGGCATTAATAAGAAGGGGCTGCAGACAGTCATCCATAGTATCATAGAATCATAGAGTTGGAAGAGACCACAAGGGCCATCGAGTCCAACCCCCTGCCAAGCAGGAAACACCATCAGAGCACTCCTGACAAGTGTATGTTTGTCTGGAGGCAGCAGACCCCGAATCTCAGCACCAAGAATCCCATGGCATTCCCCTGACAGTAGCCAGTACTCCTGGATACTGGCTATTTTAGTCTTCCTTGGATGTTTGTACAAAACATTCCTTCCTATAGGATCGCTAAAGCCACCCTCCTTGCCACCGTCACAAAATATGGATCAGGAGATAAGTAGAGCACAACAAATAGTCCAAGTGAACATCACTATTGCAAGTACTTTACCAAAACCTCATCAGAAGGGACTTAGTGTCTCATTAGCACATTCTTATAGTAGAGGGCAGATGAGACTCATAGGAAAAAGACAAAGGTCACCCTACTACCTGTGCCTACAGCACTGCACGGCTGATGTTGTGATACATTCAACCAATCAGTAAATATGTCATCTATCCAGGCACGTCAGAGAGAAATTGTATGTAAAGTAGGCCAGGATCTGGTGGGGTAGCAATAACTCTGGAAAGGGACGTGTCTCTACTACAAATTTAAATTGGTTTAACTATCACAATTCCTAACCAAGGGTCCTGGAAGTTATAGTTGTGTCCAGAGGTGCCACCTTCCAAAGTACATTGAGGGGGCCTGATGCAACGTCCTGACATCGCTTGTGCCCAGCTCTGTGTTCAGCCTCAACAATGGGGGCCTCGGCCCCCTCAAAAAAGCTACAGTTCAAAATCCTTTGCAGGAAAACGTGAAAGCTAACTCAAATATTGCAGAGGTGCCTTGGCTCAAGTGTCCCTGAAGGAGCATTTCCACCCTCATCATTCTGCCCGGACACTGAGGTCCAGCGCCGAGGGCCTTCTGGTGGTTCCCTCACTGCAAGAAGTGCGGTTACAGGGAACCAGGCAGAGGGCCTTCTCGGTAGTGGCGCCCACCCTGTGGAACGCCCTTCCACCAGATGTCAAGGAAATAAACAACTATCTGACTTTTAGAAGACATCTGAAGGCAGTCTTGTTTAGGGAAGTTTTTAATGTTTGATATTTTATTGTGTTTTTAATATCCTGTTGGAAGCTGCCCAGAGTGGCTGGGGGGGCCTGGCCGGATGGGCGTAGTATATGTAATAAATTATTATTATTATTACTAAGTTAGAGACTAACTCTCTTATGTTTCTGAGGAGCATACAATTCACAACAGAAAGGAAGACAAAACTGGCCATGTATTAGATATGCATAATTTACTGTTTACTATCAGTCGGAACCCAAAGCATCACCCTCATAATCCTTCTTAAACATGGAAGTGACAATAGGTTATGTATGGCCCATTAACACAGGACAACCCAAACCTGGCAAAAGCATAGGATATTAACTGCAACACCTTGATATATGTGTCACACCATCACATATATAAGCAAAAAGCACCATCTTTTCTTTTTCACCTACGGGTTTCTAAACCACCCCATGGATCTAATAAGACTAATAAGACCCCATTCCAAAGTCTATAACATCCAATTTAAATGATCAAGAATAAGAGCCTCAGTTTGGCTGTACTGATTTAAATCAGTATTGCCATTTTTAAATGTATGCATTTCCTGAACAAGCAAGTGTACTGATCTATTGGGTAGTAACTAAACAGAACCTTTGTACAACATAGGATCAACCAAAACCTTTGATCCCGAAGCCAACATGCCTTTTGCACTGCAGAATTATATCTGTTCAGAGAGAAAAAAAGATTTCTGCTTGGCTTTCTCTGTTCACATGCCAGATCACTTACCTGAAGACTAAAGGCTGCAATCTCTATGTAGATTTACTTAAGATTAAATTCCACTAAACACAATGGGCACTTACTTCTGAACAGACATACAGTGGTACCTTGGTTTAAGAACAGTCCGGTTTAAGAACAATTTGGTTTACAAACTCCGCAAAACCAGAAATAGTGTCTTGGTTTGAGAACTTTACCTCGGTCTAAGAACGGAATCCGAACGGTGGAAGGACACTGGTGGCGAGAGGCCTCATTAGGGAAAGCGCACCTTGGTTTAAGAATGGTTTTGGTTTAAGAACGGATTTCAGGAACGGATTAAGTTCGTAAACCGAGGTACCACTGTACATAGGTTTGGATATTAATGCTGTAATCCTACTCATGCTTATTTGGAAGCAGGTCCCATTGAATCAAGTGAGATTTCCTTCCAAATAAACATGCATACAGTTGAGCTATAATGGTGTCCGGAACTTTCCAGGAGCAAGAGCTGGTACTTAGCGGACAAAATAGTGTTTCTCCCTGCATTAGAAAGAAATAATATCCATGCTGCTTCCTTAGTAAAGCCCTAAACATCAACATTTAACTGAACATGTCACAGGACTCATGATGTTGGGAGGGTGCAAAACAGTACAATCCAACCAGTCAGGGTTCTGAATATTTGTGGTGTTATACAGGATGACATTTCCTAGATCCTCATGCATTGGATAATTGGTCTCCAGTACCAACAGGAAGACACAGCAGTGTATCACATTTACTGCTTGATCTCTGATGTTGAATAATTTTCTAACAGACCTTGTTTTTGCACAGAAAAGCAAGCTGCAAATTAGAGGGCTTAATAGATGGCCATGATGAAGTTTTAGAGATTATGTGTAAGCATTCAATTGCTTGTTCGTATGGGCGCCTCTCAACTTACACAGGGGTTACATTCCGGGAATAGTGCATAAAGCCAAAATCGCATATGGTCAAAACACATTGGGTTCAATGGTGGGTGGGATTGCCAAAGTATTTTTCCCAAAACACCTGCTCTTCTCTGCTATATATACACCAGGCATGTCCAACAGGTAGATCGTGATCTACCGGTAGACCACTGGACGTCTGCAGTAGATCACTGGCTCCCCCCAAAGAAGCTGAACAACGGTGGCTCCCCTTAAAAAAGCTCAACATTTTACCTCCTCCCTGAAAAAACTCAACAACTTTAACCTGAATCTCGAAAAAGGGGGTAGGTCACTGCCAGTTTTTAACTCTGTGAGTAGATCGTAGTCTCTTGGGAGTTGGCCACCCCTGATATATACAGTCATACATTAAAACACGAAGTCTGTTGGAAGTCCGTTCAACTTCCAAAACATTCAGAAACCAAAGTGTGGCTTCTGATTGGCTGCAGGAAGCACCTGCAGCCAATCAAAAGTCAAGGAATTCGCACCGGACATTCGGCTTCCAAAAATAGTTTGCAAACCGGAACAGTCACTTCTGGGTTTGCGGCGTTCAGGAGCCAAAACATTCGAGAACTAGGAAAACCAAGGTACAACTGTATATATATGTATATATCATATAAACCTGCATGTACACAATTTAAATGTGTGTTCAGTTAAGATTTTCTTTAAAATTCAGTTGCTTTTAAAGAGAAACACTATAAATTAAATATTAAAAAGAAAAAAATGATTTGGCAATATCTAACAGTAGTCATATTTAAGAGAAGACCCATTGAAATCTTGGGTCTACTCAAAATTCAAAGCAGTTGGATTTTTCTTCTCCATTTTTAGCTGCTCTGAGCTTCAGGTTTCCAATTATGGGCTCTCTGATGTTCCTCAGCTGCCTGGTCTAAAGGCATTTATGACCTACTATGTGATACCAGAACAGATAAGCTAATGGCATCCAGAAAAGCCATAAACCCCAATGTGTGCATCAGAGCAGATCAACCAACAAGATGTCACTGGTTGAAGAGGACAATGAAATAAGCTGCAAGGTCAGAGGACAAGATTTATTGGGTGAATGAGTACACAGTCTATGAGTGAATGAGAACACACTTCAGATGGGCCCTTAGCTAGTTATGAGTGAAAAACAAGCATTTTCCTAAACTTGGGCGAATAATCTTTCCTGTAACCCACTAGTGAAAAGGGGCTCTTTCTCTGTCAAACTGGTCACCACCATATTAGTCTGTTGTAACATACACATCAAAGTCTTGTGGCTACTTAAAGACTAATGGATTTATTACAACCTTGCATTTTGCAGCAAGGACTTCCATGCAGGTAAGTGAACAGGTTGGTGGAAGAAGGAAATGTGCTACTCCTTCTTCACTAACCTGCTGCATTTCATGCTGGCCACAAACGAAAGGATTTCTGTCCCTCTTGGTAGAAGGTTGTGTGTGTGTGTGTGTGTGTCTGTGTGTGTTTATGTATACACAAACACACTAACCTGCTAAGATGCTACTAGCCTATTTTTCCATGCTGGCCATGGAGGAGGAGCTTCTAGCCTCTTAGCAGACATTTAACAGGCTGATTTATTATGGCAGAAGCTTTCAAGGTTGGAGTCCTGATGCATCTGACAAAGTGGACTCTGATCTACGAAACCTTATGCAACAATAAATTTGTTGCTTTTAAGGTGCCACAAGACTCCTTATTACTATTTGACCACACTCTTTATTCCCTTTACTACTGCACCTTCAAGGTCTGTTTCTGAAAATGCATACTTTTAGTTCAAAATGTTAAGTTAACAGAGGCCCCACAAAAAATGTGCAAGGGGAAAGATGTTCAAGGAGCCTCATTCGTACTCCAGACTTAACAGCAATGCAAAAGAACATCAGCAGAGAAGAAAAGATGCATATGGCATAGTAAGGCAACACCTGCTACACAGCTAATTATTACAGGACACTGGAGTAGGCTCCACCCACCTGTCAACCTTGACCCACAAGAGGTGGGGAAAATAACAATCTGGCTCATTGGCCAAATCTAGCTCTCCACCCATGGATTAGGGCTGCTATCCTTGGATGCAAGTGTCATTGACTATAATGAGAGCAAACATGCGTAAGATTGGAAGCCCAGATTCCAGAAACACTTCTCATTATTCCATATCTCCATTCACCCTCCCACTACTTAGATTTCCCTTCTCTTTAGGAAATAACACAGCTGACGAGCAAAGCAGGGGCAAAAATGAGAACCTGAGCTCTCTCCCTAAAAATCTCAGAGGCATTCTATTACGTTAGTTTCAACATACTTTTGATTAGCAAGGTAGCTGGAATAATAGTTTTTCTCCAGAAGTTCTGTTTGATATGCTGCTTGACAATCCTCCTGTTTTATGAGTGGAATACAATTAGTTGAAGTAAGCACAACAGGTGCAAGCTTGGGCAGTATGTATGGAGATCCTGGGCTGCCCAGACAACAAAACCCTCCTCTTAGCCTCACTGCTGTGGTCCAAAGGTAAGCAGAGCAGTATGTTTGGCACCAGCTGGGCTGCAATTGTTTGAAGTGATTTGTCTAATTCACAAATAAATGTTCATTTAACATGCAGAAGTAGCTGGAATAGGAATGCACATACAGTTTGGAAGAAAGTAGGTGAAAACTGCTGGGGCTTTACTATTCATCAGTGATATGGAGTAACATTTATGTGAAAACACAAGGGTGGCGCAGACATACAACACAGCACTGAAAGCTATGAAGGGTTGCTTAGAGAGACAGGCAACATATGATGCTAAGTATTTGTTTCTACATTTGCAGAAGACTCATGAAGAAACTGAATCATTTGAAGAAAGGTTTTGAAGCACGGATGGTTTGGGAACTCACAGTTTAAGTAAGTAACTCAAGGTAGGTTTTGTCATAAGTAAAAGGCCTCATTGTTTGGTTTCGTTACATTTGTAACACAGCCTTCCTTTATGGAGTACAGCAGCCCCCCCCCCAACTCGGCCCTCCATATGTTTTTGGGACTACAACTCCCATCATCCCTAGTTAACAGGACCAGTGGTCAGGGAAGATGGGAACTGCAGTCCCAAAACATATGAAGGGCCAAGTTTGGGGGTGCCTGGAGTACAGGGTTATCCTAATTTTTTTCACAATGAGGATGATTAAGTTGAGAGTTAAGTTACTTGCCCCAGGCTACTTGTTGAGCTCCACAGCCAAGTAGGAATTTGAACATAGCTCTCAATCCTAACAAGGGAAGGATGCATAGGGCAAATACAGTTTATGTGCAGCTTCTAACCTACTGGGAAGAATTTCTCTCCTAACCAAGGAATGTTAGAAGCAGTGATTTCAGAAAAGCTATTTCTATTCCCAGCTTACATGGCCCCACAGCTAACATTGCCTGTGATAGTTACCTCTGCCAAATCCGCCACACCCAGAACACAGGTCTTTTGGAAAAATGGCTTGTGACCATCATAGAATTATATCAACAGGCCTACATTTTTTGCATTTCTTTTTAAGTATCAAGTACTGTACACCAAAACACATCACAGAGGATGTATCTCTCAGACTGTGTGTTGCCTGTGCCATTGGTTGCAACAGAGAATCAAAAAGATGTGGCCCAGTGATGCTGCCAAGGATGTGGAGGAGGAGGAGGAGGGTGTCTTAGAACACATTTGGCTTTTCTGCTGGCTGGCATAAAGGGAAGGAGAAAGCCGCAGAATGTCGCAGGTGTGGAGAAAGGGGAAATAATGTGGCTATCACCACCCTCATCTTCATGTCAGAATGCAGTTACAGTGGTACCTCGGATTAAGAACCTAATTTGTTCTGGAGGTCCGTTCTTAACCTTAAGTACCACTTTAGCTAATGGGGCCTCCTGCTGCTGCTGCCAGAGCACGATTCTCATCCTGAAGCAAAGTTCTTAACCCGAGGTACTATTTCTAGGTTAGTGGAGTCTGTAACCCGAGGTACCACTGTACATGCCATGCATATCTGAGGTGGGGGTAGGAATGTAAGGCAGAATAGCTGAGGGGAGCCTCAGAGGTGTGGAAGCCCCCCTGATGCTTCTCAAGACGTGGCTAAGCCATGACACCCTCATGCCACGTGGCAGGGAAGGGGCTGCTCCACACAGAGGAGGCTGCTGCTGCTGCTCCTGCCACGCAGGCTTGGCCAGGGGGAGGAATGCCCAACCGGGTGCAGGCCGGCCAAAGGGAAAGAGGGTCACAGGCCTTGGGAGGCGCCCTGGGTGTGACCGGAGCCGGAAAGGGGCGTGGCCGGCCACCCTGGCAGGGCCGGCAGACGGGGCGTGGCCTCACCTGTAGTAGCTCAGGAGCCCGTTGCTCAGCACGAACCAGCGCCGCTGATACCCTTTGATGTAATTGGTCCATTTGAAAAGCCAGCCTTCGCGGGCTGACCCGGAAGTGGAGCTGGTGGACCCGGAAGCGGAAGTAGAGCTCCCCCCTGGAGTGCCTGTCACCCCCCCTGGGGCCGGTCCCCCAGGGCCCAGGGTGCCTCCTCCGCCGCCAGGCCCGGGAGAGGGTAGCGGGGGCGCTGGGCCGGGCCCACAGGTCGCTCCTGGGACGGAGGCGATGGGGCCGCCCGCTCCTCCAGGCGTCGTCGCTGGGCCGGGTCCCGCCGCTCGTAACTCCGACATGGCACCGCGCAGCACCGCCGCCGCCTTCGCGAGCCCCGAACTGCCTCGGCCAACGAGAGACCAGGAACCGCCGGAGGCTGAGCGCCTCCCTCCTTCTTGGCTTCTCCCTCCCCCCCAAACGATGCGCGTCGCGCCGTCACCCAACCCTCCCCATTAGCAGCGACGCCCACTCCAGGGGCCGGAGTCCCGCTTGGCACCGCCTCCGCGGCTGCTACTGGTCCAAATATGCCCAGGGGGCGTGGCTTGAAGCTGCATTGGCCGGTGAGGCGGCGTCATTCGCTTCCCAATAGGCTTTCTTTCTCGCCGCTCCTATTGGTCTCTTCTCTTGTCCTTTGCAGGTAAAAACCAGTAAGCAGCTCATGGAGGGGGGGGCGTTGCAAAGACGCTGTCTCTGACGTCATCGTGGAACGGGAGCTCTGTTGGTTAGATGGCGAATGACATTTGAGAGCCAACGGTAATGGGCGCCTGTGAAGACGACGAGCCAGGGCTCCAGACCCAATGCCATTTGCACCCTAGCAGCCCAGTCCTGTGCCTGTTTACCAGGACACAGGTCTACCGAGTTCCAGGGACGCGCATAAGATTCCAGCCTCACTTAAGGTTCCGGCCCCAAATTACCTGCCAACTCCGTTTTAAGAACTTAACTTTCAAGCAAATGTCTTTGGGTCTTATTCCTCCAAAAATTGGCTTAGGTAGGAGCTCAAATATGTGGCTGCAAAAACCTATACCTTATGGGGATAATCCTGCCGGCATTGGGCTAACAGGACCAGCTCCCTTATGGATCAGTAGGAATAAAATGGTGAGTTTTTGGTAAAGGAAAGTGGGGGGCCCCAAGGATTTCTTGAGGTTGGTGCTTTTTACACAATCTAGAGTTAGGGATAACCACGATTGCTTAAGACATCAAATTATTCAGGGTGGTGGAACACAGATTGTGAAGAGTTCCAAACAGATTGCTCCAAACTCGGTGACTGGGTATTGAAATGGCCAGTGTGATGAACTCTTAAGCTGGCAGTGACAATTGTTGCGCTTTCTCCTCCTGAACAGATTGCCAAAACCTTTAGAGAGAAACTGCTGGGTTGCTCCATCTTTCCATTTTATTATTTGCTTTAAGTTATTTCAAATGGTTACCACCTCAAGTGCACACAGAAACGCAACATAAATGCAGTAATAAACAATTGTTCAAATGTATTTTTCTTACGGCCATTGTTGCCCTACCACTGTTAATAAATCTGCACCTGAATTTCTTACAAGAAAAACCATTTTAAATCCAACCTTGTTAATCTTAAATGGCAATCTCATTTGCTCTTTGCTGCAAGAGCTGGCTAACATGTTGTGGAAAAGGGCTGATTTCCCTTAAGCTTAGGTAACTGTTGCCCCTCACAGTAAAATGGCAGTATCTTAATCCTAACCTAGCAATGTAACATTTAGAAGGAGCTCAAGAAATGTTAAGATAGCTCGTTTGTTTTTTGTTAAAGGTAGCCAAGAACACAAACTGAAAAACACTAATGGGGCAATATGAAAAGCTAGCATTGTCTACATATAACTAGTCTTAGAGCAAGGCTTAATTTCATGCAGGTGGCAAAAGGAAAATCCTGAAAGCAGAAGAGGATGGTACAGGAGAAGGGGGGGGGGGGAGAAAGTATTCTGATCACCCTGGCTCTCAGATTTCTCTCAAGGGAATGCAGCCCTCAACAGAAAAAAACCCTTTACATAGACCAGGGATAGGGAACATTTGGCTCTCCGCAGTGCTACTTTTCTAGCAAAAGAGGTGCTGGAGCTCACCATGAACTTCTCCCTTGTTCTTTTAGAATGGCAGTGGCACCCACCTGAGAGATACTAGAGCTGAGCTCTGGCTGAAAAAAACCTCTGGTTCTCCAGATGTTAAACTACAGCTCATTGTCCCTGGCCATTGGCCATGCTTGCCAAGGCTGTTGGGAGTTGTAGTTCAGCAACATCTGGAGGGGGCAAAGGCTCCCCAGCCCTGACACAGACAGCTGTACAGTGGAACCTCGGGTTGCAAATGTGATCCATGCGGGAGGCATGTTGGCAACCCGCAGTGCCACGTCTGCACCCACACGGGTTGCAATTCAGCGCATGCGCAAAGCCCGATTTAGTGCTTCTGTGCATGTGCGAGCACCGAGACCCAGAAGTAACCTGAAGCATCTGTAACCCAAGGTACCACTGTACCCGAGTACAATTAAGCATAGTGGATATGGCAATGGATAAAATCCTGAAGTGCAGCTCCAAGGGATATGACAAATTCCTGGGCCAAGGTGTGCTTTAATCCCTGCCAACAAGCCATTCCATGGCAATGAGGAAAATGAAGAGAACTGATGTGGGGTAGTACCACCTAAGCCAATGTACTTAACTGATTCATGCAAAATGTTTGTTTTTTTCTTAGAGTCTTTATTCACACTTTACTACTATATTAGATTTCTCAAGCTTCAGCAGCCCATACGGAAACACCTGCTGTTTGGGTCTGAATGAGACAGCCCCCTCGTTTATAGAAAAGCAAAATCCATACACAGAACACTATGCACACTCCCCACAAGTATAGAATTTTTTTTTATTTACAATACCCTATAAAAATGTAAATTTAGAAATTTCATTAATCATAACCAAACCAAAAAGTAAAAGCACAATAATAATAATAATAATGGACCACTTGATCGTGTTTACGGAGAGGAGTAAAGAGTAGAGGAAAAGGATTAAGAAAGGTTGAAAGGCTGTAGGAAAAAGGAAGGTGTGAGAAAGTAAGTTAGAAATCTGGATTTAAGGGAGGTGTACGGAGAATACTGTGGAGAGGCAGCCAGTTAGTAACAGGCGTTTACTGGTTGTAGAATACCTACATGTGCAAATTGTTTTTAAAAGCAAAGAAAGAATTAAAAAAAAAAACACCTCACCACATTCCAAAAAAAGGAGCAAGAAAACAGCAGGACCTAGCAGTGTATGATATTGAAACTCACTAAGATTAATCTGTTCCAGGAAAATTCATTCCTGGTACCTTATTGGTTACTCTACAAGGGCTCTTGGCCAGCTGGAGCTTGAAGCAAGGTGTAGGTCAGAGACAAAAAGCTCAGGTAGAAAGTGAGTCTCAGGAAGACTAGACAAATGTGCAAAGATGACATTGCTTCATCACAAGGTTCAGAAAAGGCGGATCAGTTTGCAGGACTGGGTGACGCCATTATGAGGCATGTGGCACTGGAAGAGGTGGGGAGACAGAGTCACCAGTGGGCCAATCAGAGGGACTTCCCGTCATTTAAAAACATTCCCAACAAAGGAGACACCAACAGGTCTCTCCATTTCCACAATAAATGTGGACTATTCTCTTCCTCCTACCCAGGCCGGTGTTCTTAGTGACAGGAGACAGGAAAGCGGAACTGCTTTCCTTGCTAGTCCATCAGTAGTGCGCTGAGGAGAAAGCGGTCTGTGTAGGGAGGGAAAGCCATTGTGAAAGTGCTGAGGGAAAGGGGGGGGGGCTTGGGGTGATTCAATGCAGCAAGGACATGCAGAACTGCAAACTAGCAATGAGGGGCGGAGAAGGTAAGCACATCCCCAGCCAAGCTCAGAGCAAGAGAGCAATCTTCTGTGCTGGACCAGAGACACAATCCCACAAGGATTTATTCTGAGAAGGCACTGCCTCCTCTTCACCCACTAAAATACTCTGGAGGTGGCAGCAGTGATGGAGACCAGCGTGGCAGCAGTTTGAGGCCTTCTATCGTATTCCTTGAATTAACCTGAAACAGAAAAAAAGTAAGAACTGTCAAGAATGTGTACCCTTTCTAGCTACTGCAGCCAGATTCCTTTTCCCCCCAGCTCAATTTTGTTTCATATCCATATAAAAGGGGTGCAGAGCCTGTGGATCTCCAGGTACTGCTGGAATACACCTCTCATGATTCATGACAACTGGCTATATGCCAGCTTTTCTCAACCTTGCGTCCCCAGATGTTCTTGAACTACAATTGCTATTATCCCTGATCACTAACCATTCTGGCTAGGAATGATGGGAGTTACAGCCCAGCAACATCCAAAGTTGAGAAAGCCTGGGCTATGCCGGCTGGAGCCGATAGGAGTTGGAATCCAGTAACATCTGAAGAACCACAGGGTCCCCACCCGTGCCAGACAGCTTCCTCAAAACTTAAATATTACAAAAAACTACTACAACAGTTGGAGAACTGACACGGAAGTCTCATTCCAGCCAGTCCTTATTAGTGCACTTCCAACGATTAGCCCCTACTGTGGAACTATTGCAAGTGTGAGAATCAGTGCCACAGCAATATCTTCTCCACTTTTCTCCATTTTTAAATATATTTTTATATATAATTGTAATTATATATATATTGGAGACACGATTTCTCCTTCCCGTTCTCCATTTCCACGCCTGACTTCTATTAATGTGTGGATAACATGACAATACTTACTGTAACTTTGTCTCTAGCACATTTAGTTTCTGCTGATCAACATAGCGAGAGAAGAGAGACAGGAGATTAGAGGGGGTGGACACTGGCTTGGCCAAGGCTGCCTGAGGGATCCGGAGAAGCTCTCTGGTTGCCATGAACATCAGTTCCGTCCTGCCAGAGACAAGGAAGTAATGGTCATTGTAAGAATGGCTTGCAGGGCATGGAAGTGGAGGTTTGTCAAGAGAGGCGCTTGAGTTTACATGCCTACCACATCATGGGATTTAATCTGTAACCCACTCTAGAATTGTATTTGCAACGTAGAGCAGGTAAAATGTTTTTTACCGTAAATAGATTTACTACTGGGAGATAAGAGACAATTACCCCATGTTGACAGATATTTTAGGAAATAAGGATGGACACAGCAAGATTGACAGTACTTCACACCACATGACACTGTTCTAAAGTCAAACTTGATCAATTCAACAGGGGCACTGCTCTCAGAACATTTGTTTTTGGCCACAACTTAAATTTGACTACCAATTGGTGAGGAAAAGGCAAACATGAGACCATTTCTGGAAAAGTTCTTTCCATTTGATATTAAAGGAGGCTGAAAGGGCAAAAAGGAATACGGTGATCCAAGTTTACGGAAGACAGCTGAGAGTCCTCTGGCGCTACAATTATAATCAGGAAGTAACCTTGACAGCTTTAGTAGACACTAAAAAAGCCATGATCAATATTCCAGCTGCTGATCTTTTGCAAGGATGAGACAGGAGGAGGAGAGAGGTCTTGAACCTACCAATGTGGGTATTTACAGTAAGTGGTTACAGTGCTAGACTTTCAGAAGAGGATGCTGCAGCTTTCTGCCTCCCCCTTCTACTCTTCCCAGCAATTTTAAGATAAAAATGTTCCTTCCCCTTGGGATCCTTCTCAAGGAAGGTTCATAAATGTAATAAACTATGGCTCTCACATGGTATATGGCCGAGATGAAGAGAACAGGTCCAAGTATACTTAGTCCTTAAGTTGTACAGTACAAGATCACCAGAGCTTCAAGCTTGCTGCCCTACTCCTAGGTGTAATTTGACAGGCTCTTAAGCACACGGTGAGCCATCTCTGTGCAAACTTCAAAGCAAGGACTACCAGCCTCAACTTATCAGCTAAAGAACCTGCTTTGAGTGTTTGAGTATATACAGAGTGCTTTTCCTTTACCAAGCAAACACAGCCAGCATGGTGGCAAAGACAAAATGTGCACTGAAAGAAGGCAATAAACAGATGAGCAATAAAATGTCTCCGCACTCCACCCCACATGCAGTACAGCAATGGCAATTGTAACAGTATAGAATCAAGGGGGGAATTGTGCAAACCTCTAGAGCTAAGTAACTTGCTTCTCAGGTGCTACCAGCATGTACCAGAAACTATGCAAACTAGTCTTCACCTACTGTTGTGGATTAGCTGCATTCGTCTGAAAGTCAAACTCAAAATATTTTATTTTTGAAGAAATACATTTGAAAAGTAGACACGGCAAATGCCGGGCTGCTCAGACTCACCACTGGTTGTCTTGCAAGAGCTCTGTAGTAGAATCTGAACTCTGCAGTTCCTCCCCACGGCTCAAGACCAAGTACAGCAAAGAGAGGCCAAACTTAAGTGGAGGGGGAGAGAGAGAGAACAGAAAGGAAAATTAATGCTGCAACCCTGTGTACACCTCCAGTAAAAAGTTATTCCCCAGTTAAGTCCATCTTACTTTAAAGAATGACTAAATTTCCATTTAGAATTAAAAGGGCCAATCTGATTTTTTAAAAAAACGTAAAATGGTCAGCTGCACAGAAGAGACAGGGCAAAAGAAAAGTAACTGATATCAAAAATCAAGAGATGTGAGAACAGCTGCCTAGGAACAAGATAGTGACTCCAGAGCTTCATTCAGGTGAGGGAGCAAGGGCACTCCTTGCATCCTAGCAAATCTTTGTAAGCAGCTGTGCCTTTAAAGCCACATCATTAACACCTCCTCTATCCTGAAGCAATGCCTAGCCATTAAAAAGTCTAGTGGTACACTAAGCACTGATAAAAGTGGAGTAAAGAGAAGAAACCTTGTTCTGGAGCACATTTGTGAGGTGCAGGTTGGCCGATGCTGTCGTCGTGCTCTGAGGTAGGTTCATTAGCTGCTGCAGGATGCTGGCGACAGTTCCCAGCGGAAGATGATAGAGAACAAGGGAGAAGGGCCTCAATAGGCAGGGTAGCACCTGAGGAAAAGGTTTTTTAAAATGCCATGCTTTTGTCACAGGACAAGCATATTACACACCAGAGACTGACATCCTAATTTCTGAGTCTAATCATTAATATATTGCAGTAAAACTCCTTTATGCTGAGTGCTGTGCATAGCATTGCTATAGCACTGACTTTGTTTTTGTTTTAAAATGCTGGTTTATTGTTCATTGTTCATTCACTGGTACTTTTTATATTTTATTATCAGGTGGAAATGGTTTTTATTGGAAACTAAGCTGCTTTCTGGAGGAAGCTCCTCAAACAGTGGGCTATAATGGATAAATAGAAGTTTAAAGTGGGAGAAACAGACTCTGCATCTTCATTTTCCTACCCTTTCAAGAAAGTCACTTTCTAACTGGTTTCTTGAACTTTTATCAGCCTTTGTCTTGATAAACACAGTACATTCTCAGGTTTATGCCTCTGGTACTTAAACATGTTATAAGCTTTCTTACAAATGCTAGTTAACACCTCACTTTAAAAGACTAGGAAGGAGATGGGACGACTGGAAGAAGAGATGTGCTCTATTTGTGGCTTCGGCCTCTCCAGATTATCAAGGGAGACTGCCAACAGGAGCTGGAACAGGAGTTGGGCATTTTCCCCTTCAGGTTGTCTGTAAAACCATGGCTGTCATGGTTTATAGAGGATTCCTATGTTTAAGTCTGCACAGGAAGTATGCACAGGACTGTAGCTTTAGTTATTTTGTTGAAATACCCTTGTCAATTCCAAAAAAGACTAATCCTAACACACACAAACAGGACTATTGTATTTTCCTCTTACTCTAGTAAGAGAAGGCATTAGTTATGCAGGTGAACTCTTCCATTCCTGTAACACTCAAGACAACTCCTTAGTGGCCTCTCTTCAGCAGTGTTTACCTCATCCTGAGCATCCTTCTTAATTAGGAATGGCAAGTTCCTGGCTGTGGCCATAAGTATATCAGCGGCTTGCTCAGTGGACAAGAAAGGTAGGATCCGGGCAACCAGACGTTTTCCTTTCCGAATACACATGATCTGCACAAAAGCATCATCACACAGCCTGCCAGAAAAGAGCACACAAATCATTGTTAGGTGGCGCCAGAGCATGTGATTCTTCTCCCCCACCGAACTTCCTAAGTGGCATGCAGAGCTGGGGTAGCTTTGAAAGTCACAGCCTTGCTCACAGTCACAACATTCTTCATGAAGATACAGCATCTAGCTACCTATGCAGAGTTCTTCCAAACACCAAGAAAGTCTTTGGAAAAGCAGAGACCATTTCATCGGGAGCAGTAACCTCATTAAGGTCAAATAATTATTTTGAGTCTAAACAGCTTTAAAATCATATTGGGTTGGCAACTAGGGGGCTCCCTGGGCCAGGAATGGCACTCTAAGGGGGAACATCCACTTCACAACCTAGAAGTGAGCGGTAATTATGGAGGAGGCTACAGTTGTGTCCCCACCACAGGCCAGCAGGCTGCTAAAACAAGAAGCCTAGGTGAGGAAGCGGGGAATGACAATAAGCTTATTACCAAATAGGCTGTCCTAATATTTTGGAAACAGTTTGTCAAGTATGGTTTGCCATCCCATTTCCCTCCAGAAGCAAATCTGTACCAACTAGTTTTTGAAACTTTTATTCTTGCAGTGCTTATTCCATGAGCCCCAATACTGCCAATATCAGTAAGGAAACACATAATCCTGTCTATCTAGGCTTCTGCTAGTGGGGCATCCCGCTTAGCAGAGTTGTGTTCATGTGATGCTCCCCCGTCTGTGGAATCAGGGGAGAGGACAGTTGTCACTAATTCCCCCCTACAGCCGCTTGTGCACCTGAGTATCTGCTCTGTCAAATTGGGAGGAACTATTTTCTTTTTGGAATTGTACAAGAATCTTACTCTTACCTTTCCTGGTTGGGCATTTTCCCCTTCAGGTTGTCATACATGTCACAGATCTTCTGCTTCCTCTCCTCCATCAAAGCCAGCCTGTCGCCCTCCAGGCTCAAAAGGTAGCGCCTCTCATAGTCCTCTACATCCAGGAGGAGGCTGTATGTCTAGTAATCAAGAAATGGGCTTTAGACGTGCATCTAAACTCAATGCCATATGTCACTCCTTATATGGTAAAAGGTAAAGGGACCCCTGACCATTAGGTCCAGTCGTGACCGACTCTGGGGTTGCGGCGCTCATCTCTCTGTATTGGCCGAGGGAGCCGCGTACAGCTTCCAGGTCATGTGGCCAGCATGACTAAGTCGCTTCTGGCGAACCAGAGCAGCGCATGGAAACGCCGTTTACCTTCCCGCCGGAGCGGTACCGATTTATCTACTTGCACTTGGATGTGCTTTCGAACTGCTAGGTTGGCAGGAGCAGGGACCGAGCAACGGGAGCTCACCCCGTCGTGGGGATTCGAACTGCTGACCTTCTGATCAGCAAGTTCTAGGCTTTGTGGTTTAACCCACAGCGCCACCCACGTCCCACCCATTCCTTATATGACTACAGTTCTAATGCCTGAATAACACTGCCGAATGGATAGGCTGTGCCACCCCCCCACCTTCCCCCAAAGCTTTAGACTAGAGTGCCGCAGGCCAAGCCAGATAATTAGAATGATAGAATTGTAAGTTGGAAGGGACCCCGAGGGCCATCTAGTCCAACCCTCCGCAATGCAGGAATCTCAACCAAAACATCCCAGACGGATGGCCATCCAACCTCACTTAAAAACCTCCAAGGAAGGAGAGTCCACCACCTTCTGAAGGAGTCTATTCCAGCTCAGTGTCAGAAAGTTCTCCATTAACTTCATTTAAAAGGAAACTATACTAAGTAGGGAACTGAGACAGCAAATAAAAGCAGTAATCATAGCTAAACCACCAAAAGGATGTACAAGTGATTCCAACAGTAGCCTCTCTATTCTAAATCCAAGATGGCATAACCCATCATGGTTAAACTGCACTGCCACCAGTTTAACCACTAAGGGCTGAGTTAGTAGCTCCCCTTTAACCTTGTACTGGATGATTCCCGCTTTCCAGGGAGAATGCACCAAAGTCTCACTTACCTTCTCAATAGTGAAGAGTGTCTGACGCCTTTTATCTCGAACCTGCTTCTCCTTTGTCTCCTAAGGAAGAATGCAAGACATGCTAAGAAAAGTTCCCACTGAACAGGAAAGTTCCCCTCTGCAACCTCAGCAGGAGCAAGGTTTGACAACAGCAAGAACCCATATTTGAGAAGAAAGATGACAAACCCATAGCATTACACTATCTATGGAGGGAGCCCAAGTAATCCTAGCCAGAGAAACTTACATCTTCTTCCCCTCGTAACGTCACAACAGCATCAATCATCTTGCGGGGGTTATTCACACTGGAGACTGTGAGCTTCCCCAGTGAGCCTTCAAACTGCACTGCAAGCATAAAGAAAAGGCAATGCAGGTGAAATTGCATGAGCGAACCTACCTGCCCTAACATTTTGCTATTGCTACACAAAATTCTAATGTTCCCATCCCTTCCCGATTACATTTTCGCTCCATCAACCAAACTGTGCCTTCCTAATCAACCACCTAGGAAATGAGGCTATATTTTGGGCTCAAATACATGCAGGCAATCTGTTCCTTGTTGTGTCTAAGCTTGCCTTCCTTTATTCCCCAGCCCTGGAATGGTATATAGGGTGAAGTTTTCATATGCAGCAGAATGAGATGGTAGAATCCTGAGGGAGCAGAACAGGTTAAATCACTCCCAACAAGTAGCGGGAGGGAGGGGAGTATGTTTCTAATGCTCCTCCATATTAAAGACACCACGTGAATAGAAGCTTAGCACAAGGAACACATTTCCCCATGTGCTATTTTTCTATTTGAAGGCATTCTTTGCCCACCCCACCCCATGCAAGGCTGAAGTAGCACAGTCCACCCTTCCACATCTGGATTCTAGTTCCTCCTCCTGCTACATGCACTCAGATCAGTGCTTGGTGCACAAGGGTACTTACCTGGCTTGTAGGCATGCTCTAACTTGGCAACTTGTGGGGTGATTAGTTTGGTGCGCTCTTTTTTGGGACCATCGCCATGCATTTCCTCAGCTGCAGATAGTTTTTCCAGCTTCTGAAAATAGTTCTAAAGGAAGAGAAAGCTGGTTAGAAACCTAGAGGCACAGAACCCTTCAACCCAAGATTGGAAACTTGTCCCCAGCAAGGCAAGAAGCAGAGTGCTACAATGGGCCTCCATGAAGCACCAACCTGATAGTAGAAGTCATCCAGGTATGGATCAGTGCTTTGCAGTTGCATCATCTGGATCTTGGACACCCAGTCCTTTTCCCGCTGCAGCATGAGATTGGCGTAAGGGTCCTTCCTGATCTGCTCCTGGTGGCTATTCCGGTGGCTCCCTCTGTCCCCTGCTGACCCATTTAGGCTCCGGTGCTGACTGAAAGGGGTGCCACAAAAGTCAGGAAAACTACAGACCAATTACAGTGGAACCTTGCTTCCCAAACGGTTCATTTGCTGAACACATTGGCTCCCAAACACTGCAAACCTGGAAGTAAGTGTTCCAGTTTGCCAATGTTTTTTGGAAGCCGAATGTCCAACGCGGCTTCTGCTTGAGTGCAGGAAGCTCCTGCTGCCAATCAGAAGCCGTGCCTTGGTTTTTGAATGGTTTCAGGAGTCGAACAGACTCCCAGAATGGATTAAGTTCGAGAACCAAGGTACCACTGTATACAGTAGGACACAGCATGCTAGTGCTCCAGGACAGCGGTCTGGGATGTATACGAAGTCTCTTGGCACAAGACAATTCTGAGAAGAACAGATGCACTCAAGCAAATTCCTTCAGCTGTATTTTTACATGTCCCAAGAAACAACCTAGGGTCAATCCAGCATGGAAGTTCATGGCGCTGAGCTTCCAAACTTAAGAGCAGGTAAAAGAGCGGCTAAGTTTCTTCTGAATAAGCAAATTTCACCCCAGTCACCAGTTTGCTCTGTTTTGTGACAGGCCATGAAGTTACTTGCAGGATATTCCTTGAAGGGGTGACCAGAATAACCACAGGATGTTGAGAAATACCTCCACAGAGAGGCACAGTACTCAGGGGTATGATTACTGTGCCAAAGACCGCATCAGAAAAACTGACAATAGCCCTCTTTAAAAAACAAAATTCTCATCCTGGTTACAGAGAGAAAGCCAATACACACAAGCAGATTTTGGTGAAGGCTTAAAAAAATAGAAAAGCAATAGATAGGGAGTTAGCTGCATAGGATACTGAGGCTTATTATCCTAAGAATTGTCTTGCAAAGTAAAGCTAAACATCTGTTGAGTTTGCTTCCAGTGGCTAACCAGATGTTCCAAAAGAGCTTAGTGGCGATAGGTATCCCTTTTTGGTCTCTGCACCTCCTCCCTGGAGATACACTGCCCCCAACATATGAAGGTTCAATTTCCAGCCATTTTGGCTGTATTGCTATCAATACAGACCCATGAACTGTCTAAATTCCCTTCCATCAATACTAGCAGCCAGCTTCCACTTGAGGCAATTAATTTTGTTAAGATTATGAACCGCCTGAATTAATCATTCCTTTTCCTACTTCTTTTTGCCACTCCAGCTCCATTCGGAAGTCCAGGATAATCTCCAAGTCCTTCACAGAATCAGAGTGGAAGGTGTGTCAGAAGGCCATCAAGCCCAACCTTCTGTTGGTGCAGGGAATCCACTTCTGTAGAATCAGTGGGAAATGAGGGCTCCAATGAACAGGAATGAGTTGGATGCCCACCAAATTATTCTTCCAAAAAAAATCTGATTTTATGTCGATTTTTTGCGGCAGACATACTGCAGAGGCACTTGATATATATTTATATACAGGTTACATCAGACGCAGAAATAGCTTTTCCTTGACACCAGGTATACACAACCTTGGCAGAACTTTGCTTCTTGTGCTGGGAAGGCATTTAAGCTTTCCCTCCCTCCACCAGCAGAAGCACACAGATGCACTCAACACTCACTTCCTGTTCTGCTGCTGCCTCTGGTGCAAGAGTCGCCGGTGCTGTGGGTGAAGGTGGGTTGTATCTGGCCGGAACATCTGCGGCTGAGGCCTAGGGAATAAAGTTCTCTCAGGAAAGGGCAATGGAGAACCCACACACAATTCAGCTTAGCTGTCTTACTGGAAGAAAGGTGGAGCAAATGGGATACCTTAAATTCTGCAGGTGGGCTCCAGGACACGGGGAATGGTGTTGCGATGAAGGGGCAGGCGGTGCCCCAAAGTAGGCACGAAATCCACTAGCTGGAGGCATCATCTGCCCAACTCGGCCCTGGAGTAGTTTGGGGTTCATGGACGCAAGAGGGTTGCTGACAAGTCCAGAGACACGTGCAAACTGGCTGGGAGACAGCCTCCCTGCCTGTAGGGAGAGGCAGGAGAAAACAGCATCATTACTGCAAGAACTTTATCTGCTAGGGTATGCAAGAGAGAGAAGCATACCAATGCAACATTGCTGATGGCTCCTCTGTTCCCTGAATATATGATCTGGCAAATGAAGCAAACACAAGAAGCAGGTATACGGAGGAAGAACTTGCATAGCAGAGCAAAAGCCCATAGGCCAGGAGTGAGGACCCTGTGGCCCTCCAGACGTTGCTGAACTCCAACTCCCATCATCCCTGAGGATTGATCATGCTGGCTAGGGCTGTTAAGAGTTTGAGTCCAGCAACATCTGGAGATTCACAGCTCCCCCACCCCCGCTGTAGAGGATGCAACCACAAAAATGCAAAGGAGAGCAAGACAGTAGTCAGATGCTTACCTGCGCTCCTCCTAGCAGCTGTGCTCTTTGAAGGTGGGTGAGAACAGGAGTAACATTGGGAGGGAATGGGTGGCCCAGGAGGGAGGAGTTCTGGAAAAAGGAAAATAGAACACACCGACTGTAGAAACAGTCTGACACAACATGAACATTCCTATGTTCCCCCTTCTGGATATTACTGAGATGACAGAAAACAGAAGGCAGGAGCGGTGCAGAAGCTAGAGTGTATGAAACAAGCAAGACGAGGCATTTAAATAACTGGTCATTCCTATCATACAGGACAAGACAAAATAATTCATTCTAGCATTAGGCAAACAGTATCATCATCACATCTCAACACTGGGGAGCCATACTGAGGATCTCTTCTGAAGTATATTACAAGCTGCAATACTGCTAAATTGCTTTATGATTAAAAGGGCACACCAGACCACTAAGGAGCAGGAGCACTAAATTTAAACTGTTGTATGTGCTGTCCTTTCAAGGGCAAAACCCAAGAATCTTAATACATGAAATTGGGTGTCATGAAAATTAAACAGAAGACAGGAGATTTGAGCTCTTTTTCCTTTTAATTAATTAATTTTATAATGAATGATTTTAGAATGTTGTTTATGCTGTACTTTTGTACTGTTTTATTGTTGTTGGCTGCCCTGAGCCCGGCTTCGGCTGGGGAGGGCGGGATATAAATAAAATTTATTATTATTATTTTAGGCTTTTTTGTTTTAGGCTTTCTTGTCTAACAATGAACAATTATACCAAAAGCCAAACTGAAGGTCAAGTAAACCTTACAAACATACAAAAGTGCACTGGGAATCTCCTGTAGTTGACAGGCTCTGTGTTGCCCCCTAGGGATTCTGAATGTGTTCAAGGCCAGAAGGGGGTTTATTTCAGAACAAAGCAATACAGAAGAGAGACTGAAGGTTACATTGATGAGTAAAGGCCTTCATGAACATTTTTAAATAGCGAGGAATGTTGGGGGAGAGTTAAGGGCAAGAACAGTTGTTAAACCACAAGCCAACACAGAGATTTGCTCAGTCAGAACTACCGTCATATTGCAGAGCTGGTTTGGAGACATTCTCTCACTGAAGGGGCTTGGGTAACGCTGCTGAATGGGGACTCTAATGTGAACAGGCTTTGGACATAGGATCTATTGAAAGAGAAGAAAAATGAAAGCAAAATAAGCAAATCAGTAGAGTTGAGATTAAACCTCACCACCAAATGCTTCCTTCAACTCCAGGTACCAGACTGCATCCTAACCATTAAGATATCATGCTTCTAGCAATCACCTTCATTGCATTTGAAAGAACGACAAAAGCAAACAAGAGCACTTCTTTCAATAGCAGATTAGACCCACATTTCACTGAACACTCAAAACGCCACTGGAGAGAAAGTCACATCCTTGAAAGGGCATCTATGTTACATTTTTATGAAAAGTTTCAGATATTTAATTAATGCTGTTTTCCTATTTTGTCAGAGACAGGCAGATGGAAGACAAGCTTCTATCATGGGAGAGTTTGACATCTAGAGTAGCAAAAGGGCAAGTAAGCAAGCATTCCAAGGGGACAAGGGAGCAGGTGGAAAATAGCATTAGTCTTTGCAGATGCTAAACTGAGACCTCTGTGGCAACCTCTGTGCTACACAACGCAGCAGAGTGCCTTTTGCTTTCATTCTGTTCTTCGCTGAAGCCCCCATCCCAGATCCACACACCCTCATTTCCAGAAGAAGCAATACCTGCTGGTTAAAGTTGGGCATGGTGGGCTGCTTAGGTGGCGTCCCAATAGGAACAGCACGGACAGGAGGGCTGCCAATAACTGGCGAGGATGACCGCCTGGGCAGCGCCCGTTCCGAAAGGTCCTGCTCCTCTTCTCGGGCCTGTGGAGGTCTTTGTGGTAGGGCATATTCCAGCACTGACACAGAGGGGACCTCCTGCGCAGAAGGGGAGAACACACCAGCAACTTACTTTTAATATTTGTAAGTTGGGGAAGAGACACAGGCAAAACGTAGGCTATTGAACTTAAGTCTGCAAGTCTCCCATGCAAAGACAGTGTCATTATCTTCTGTACAATGCACCAGAGAAAACATTAGATAATGGAAGCCGGGGGGGGGGGGGCGAGAGGCAGGAGGAAGACAATCATCTTTATGGAAAAACCAAGATTCTCTTTAGATGAAACAAAGCACTGCACCTGATTAAGAAGTGGTCCCCTAATGCGCCTGAGAACTGAAGGCCCATCCCAGATGCTCGAGTTGAGCCCACCTTGTTGCTGGAAAGAAGGGAACACAGGGATTAAAAGTCACATGGAGGTCCCTCCAACCTATGCAACCTACCAAAGAGATGAGATGGCTCTTTCCCCACCACTATGTAACCCCACTATCATTTGCTGCACACCTGGACAGGAGGCCGAGTTTGCACAGCCTGCATGATGGCTGGATCTTCCAACTCATTATCAATCACCATCTTGCTGAGCCTCTCTGCCAGGTTCTCTTCGTGGTCCCCCAGCAGGTCCATCTCATCGGCAACTCCCGGATCCACTTGCTCTCCTCCTGGTGCAGGCTTCTCTTCCAGCTCTGCCAACCTTTCATGAGCTTCTTGCCAGTCATCATCTGCAAAGGAATGACAGGAAGGGTATTTATTATTATTACTGCTGTTGTTGTTGTTTTATTTTTATACTAAAATTTGTATACCGCCCTACACCTGCAGGTCTCAGGGCGGTTCACGGGATATATTTCTTTAAGATCCTGCCATTCTTGCCATATCACTCCCTCCTTGTTCTACAGCTGCAGCAGCATCTGCCTACAACTCCAGGGGCAAAAGATTGGAACATCAAAGGGATTTAACAAGCAGTCCAAATATCAGCAATGCAACTTGGGAAGAAATAAGGATGTTTCAGCACAGTTAGGATATTATATTAAAAGAAGTATATATAAAATAGCCTCTGGCATATGAATGAAAAGGCAGGGTACACTTGTTAGACAAACTCACCAATTGCACCAGCTCCAAATGTGTCATCATTAAACTGGTCGATATCTTCATCTTCCTCAGCCAAGTTATGAAAGCCTTCTTCATCCTCATCCAGAGGGCAGTCCTCAAGGGACTTAACAGAAAAGAAACCCACAGCATTGATTTCAGGAACTAGAAAGGCATCTCAACATCCTCTTGTAGTATTCCAAAGCATTTCCCCACAAACTCTTCCCCCTCCTCCCCAGGCATGAGTCATAATTTCAGTAGATGGGTCCCCATCTTCATCCTTCCAAGACATATGCAACCAATATCCCTTCCACCCACCACCAAAGCACCAATTCTGAATTAACTAGGCACAAAATCCCCACGAGAAAAGACAACATCCCCACACAAACCATCACAGCCTGCAGCTTTCTGAAAGCCACTTCCTATGTTACGAGGCAAAATTAAGTACTCATCCATTTGCAGCTTCAAATGCTACGGTGCAGCACTGTTATGGCAAAAAGCCTCTCAAAAAGATCAACTTGTGCCAGATCATACCAAAACTCACCACTTTTAATTTTACTACCCCCCACAGCAACTTAACTCTTCAACAGTGATTTCCTCCCACTCCTTCCCGTGTTGTAATATTGCTACACCAACTCCTTATTATGAATATAAAGTTCTGTAGGTGTTATGAGATTCAAAAAGGCAAAGGGGGCTGTTGACATGTGGGGGACACCTGGTCTTGAGCTGTGTGCAAAACTCAAGTGTCTTTCTATTCCTGTTTGGAACAAGCAGATAAGTAGTGTAGGCTGCAGCACACTCATAGTTCACTACCTGTATTTTCAGAGAACTATGTGAATGTGAGAAGCCATTGTGCTATCCTACAAGAGGCTGCACCCACAATCATTTACTCTGCTTTAGAACTGCAGAGTTATGTGGCTCAAAGACCGAAGACTGACTATACCATGCTTTCCACATTGATCTTCCCTGTAACAAGAAGGGTAACACACCTTGTGCAAACGATTGCATAGCTTTGGTATTCTCATGCTCTCACTTCCTTTCTGGCATGCCAGAAAGAATTTCATCCAGGGAGTGGTTTTACTCATGAGTCAATTCAAGCTAAATTTGGACCGGAGCACCTTTCAAAGCACAAACCAGACTTTGCTCTCTAGTTAGGTAAAACAATATGACCTGAATTGTGTCGGATACAGAAAGAAACTAAACAAAGTATCTGCACTGAGCAAAAAACAGAAGTAATAGGAAGAGGAACAGAAACCAGCCAAGAGTTTTTTTCTGAATGAAGAATCATTTCGCATGGTTTACTTTTTTACAGACAGATCCTCTGGCAAATAAGCCAATGTGTATGAAAATCCAGGATAAGAAAAGAAAATGTCTATCCAAATAAGCATTCCTCCAGGATTAAGCATTTGAAAGAGGCAAAACATATTTGGTCAACTCACCAGTCAAATATTCATTTAAATATTGTCAAGTAATGGTAAAATATCTTAAGAGTACTAAATTTATTAGAAAAGGAAATGGAACACTTTAAACAGATTTGATGCTTAATTACAAGAACAAAATAGTTAACTGTTTATGACCTGGTTCACACATCACAGCAAGCCATACATAGTCTGAAACACTCAACTCAGCTTACTGCAAATGGGCAAGGGTGCTAGTGGATGCTGCTCAGTTATGCTGCCAAGAGACAAGAACATGGAACTGACTTAGCAGGAGGTGCAAAGCAGGACTCATGATTTGTTTCTTTGCAAACAATCCATGAGACGAAGCCAAGTTTTGTTTTTGGCTTACTGCTCATAGTTTGTTAGGAAGAACAAACCACAACTGCTGGCTTGCATGCAACACAAAGCCATCCCCTCCCTGATCAGTTTCTCAGCTCCAAGCAGGGCAGAGCAAAGTGATCACGACTGAGCAGCATGCGGCAGCACACTGTTCATTCATGGTGAACCATTGCTTTGCTTTTAATCTATGACTTAATGTTATGTGCAAACAGAGCCATGGGGAAAGGATGAAACAGCTTTTTAAAAAAACATCCACCGCCCTATTTTAACAACATTAAACAAGTTTGTAAAAATGTTAATATTCACATAATATCAGATATAGGTTCTTTATACGCAGTCAAAGAACAAAATAAAGCCAACAACTGTACAAGTAAAACCTCGTAAACACATGAAATACATTAGAGAGTTTTGTAACACATAAATGATTATACATTATCAGGAATATTTAAAATATGCCCAATATTAGATAATAGATCTTCTCTGACTTTTATCCAGAACTTTGAAACCAGCACAGTTTTTTTGTTTTTGTTTTTCAAAAATGATCTTGCAAGAATGAAATTAAAACAGAAAGCGAAGTGAACTTTTAAACAGCCATTGTAGAGGTAAGATGCCACCCAGACAGCAGCATTCCTGGTTTTAAATATCTTTACCATAGGGACCAATATTTGACTGGTCAACGGATCTGCATGGCAACCTACCAGAGTATACGAATACATTTGGGCTTAATGCACAGTAACTACAATTCTATCAGCCTTGTTCAAGCCCCTTGTTGCTCTATACCAGTCTATATCCTGTCTCCAAAGGTTACTGGGTTGGAAGAGCAATGGTCTGTTGCCAAAACAGCAGAGTCTGCTTGGAAGTGAGGGAAAACAGCAAGATAGGAAGTGCAATTTAATTTTTCTGGCCAAAAAAGAAACTATCAGTTTCACTTGCATCAGCAAAAGAGACTGAGAAACGAAAGTATGCTTTATTTTTTAAAAAATTGTTTGCAGCTTCCAGCTTAAGACTCTAGGAAAAGTCTGGAGAGCTTTTTGACAGTTATACCTTGTGTAGCCAACAGCCATTAAATCACATAAAAACTCACAGCATAACAGAGGAGGGTGGACAGTAGTGGTGTGTCCATTTAGTGGTGATAAGTTAAGAGAATATGGAAGAAATCTAATTTTCCCCATAGTCCGATTTAAAAATGAGACATCTGTCAAACAGTAGTGAAACCTCAAATGTAGATTTATGCAAATGAATAACAACTAAGCAGTTCTTCCACACACAAGAGCATGTGGAAAAGGCCTTTTCTGCACAGTAATAAAACAAGAACAGTTCCCTTGATTCCTGCATGGTGTTCAGAATGTGAAAAAGAATGCCTATCCAATGCTCCCAGTGTCCACTCAAGCTAGGAGCTTCTTTTCATTTTATTTCTAGTCACTTTCTTGTACCATACACAAGATGATACTCTTGCATTTCATGTTGACAAACTTAAAAGAATTAAACTCAGCCACCTAATTTCAAGCTTTCAATCACTTTTGTAAATTAGAATTGCTAGACCCTTGTTTTGAATCAAAAGTGAACTATTCCTGAAGCTCTGCAAACACCATCTTGGTAGTCAAGATAACCCCACAATTAATTGATACCTGTAGTTGTTTTAGCGATGAGCTCATATGTTTATATTCACTTGTTTTGATTTAGGCTAATTGGCTTACTTTTATGTTATCCTTATCTGGGGGGGGGCTTGGGGGGCTGGGCTCCAAGCCCAGAAATGAGAACTATCTGTAAGATTTGGGTATTTGCCACCTATGCCATCATCTAGTCAGGTGGAATGATGGGGAGTCCTGGCCAGAGTGATGTATGCTGCTTTGTGTATAAAGAACATACGAATGTTTGCTTGGGTGTGGACAAGCCATCTCTTTGCTGCAGTGTCTGTCCTGTGTCTGTAAAGGCTGGAAGACCAGGCAGGCTGATTTGCTCTAAGTCTACACCTTTCTTTAATAAAGCAATAGAACTGATCACTCAAGCATTTTTTTAGTCCTCCTTTGGACCTGCAGTTCACAACAACCCTGAAAAGAAAAGAGCTGTGCTTTTACCATCTTTGCCGCAAGACAAGGTACTAAAAGAAGATTAAGGGGGTAACTATCCCAAGTTTGGTACCTTGACTCTGCACTCTTAAACGACTATCCCAGGGGTGTTAAACTGCTGCTTAAGCCACTTAAATGTAACACAAGAAGAGCCTGCTGGATTAGGCCAATGGCTCATCTAACCCAGCAACCTGTTCTCACAGTGTCCAACCAGATGTTTGTGGGAAACCAGCAAGCAGGATTCAGGCACAAGGGCACTCTCCCCTCCTGTCCCACTGTACAAAGGATACAGTGGACAAAGGATACAAAGGACAACATCTGTTGTCCCGCCTGCTTTCAATTCTTGCCCTGCCCATCACTGGCATGCAGCCCCCAAAAGGTTTGCCATGAGAGAATGAGGCCCTCAGGCTGAAAAAGGTTCCTCACTCCTTGCTTAACTACTTCAGATTTTGTCATGGGAGGAGTTACACTGGTGGAAAGATGGAGAAGGAGCTCCAGTCTATTAAGTTCCCCATAGAAAAGAACGTAGCATACTTTAAAAAGGACGTGGAACAGACATGCCTGAATCACAGAACACAGTCCTCCAAATGAATGCTGCAGGCTACTGCCTCAATGCAATCCAGTATGCCTGTACACTAAATTACATGACATTTTTCACACTACTCTATCCTAAAAGTCTCACCGTGATCTGTTTCTCAGAACACAGTATTCTTCAGTTCCTATCAACAGCTCTATCACACGTTCTATCTACGAGCAGAATCCAAATGTAAACACTGCACAGAAAATATGCAAGAATTCTCAGTTTCTGCTGTTTTAGCCTCCTTTGTCAGTTTTTGCAGACAAAGGAGAACTCCTGTAACTTTGCAAGAATATCTTACTGAATAGATAATATGTGCCAGCCCAATTTGTTAAATCCCCCAAAGCACATGTCCATAAGCCAATCAGTTACATATATTATTCCTTAATACAATATAGTTTTGCACGCAGAGATGCGAACCTCCGTTGCAAGCGTCATCCTTCAACCCCGTTGCATCCCCGAATTTCCTTCTATAGTTCAAACCCCAATGTTTCACGGTGGCAAGTCATTCCACATTCACCTGGTACATTCCTCCCACATGACTTTCCTAAGGGATTCCCAGAATAGCAATGGATTTGTGGGTGCTCCATACACAAACTCCACCTATGTTGCAGATGACTGACCCCCTCCCATGTCTCTGGCATGGAAAGGGCCCTCAGGAACCGAAAACACAAATCAGCACCTCAGAGTAGACTCTTCCCCAAAGGCCACCCCACATGAAAGCAGCTAGTTATTCGCTTGTTTAGGGCATAGGCTAAAGAGTTGGGGAAAGGATGCCAGTCCCCTTCGCACATCCTAACAGGGCACCCAACTGGGAGACCCTCCCCCTTGAGCTGAGGGAACGGGAAGGGGCTGCTCCCCCCCCCCCCAACAGACTAGACCAGCCTCCACCGGGTTCACGGACAGGGGTCCTCCTGGGTCATTGTCCACAGACTCCTAGAGCGGTCCCTCTCTTCCAGCACGCGGCGCCGGACAGCTTGGGGGAGGGGGGAGAGAAGAGAGCCGAGAGTTCCAAATACGGGTCAAAGGTCACGGCAAGGGTGGCCCTGGGCGCTTCCGCCCGAGCGAGGGAGGGAGGCCCGGCAGCGCCCACACCCCGACAAAGCGTTTCCTCACCTGGTAGCGGAACATGGTTCGCGGGGCGCGGAGGCTCCCTGCCCCCCCACGCCCCACGCAGCGCCCGGGAGGCTCCGCGCGGATCCTTCTCCAGCTCCGGGACCCCGCCCCCTGATGCGTGCCCTGCGTCTTGACGTAGTCCCATGAAGTCCACCGCACAGGTTTCCTCTTGCGTAGATCACTGAGGCGCGCATGCGTGCAGGGAGTCCCGTTCTATTCCCGGTCCCGCTATGAGGAGGAGGACGCTGCTTTTTTCCCTCCCCTGCGTAAGGAGGCGTTGCCCTCTTAAAGGGCCAGAGCGCGGTTATTCTTGCAGAGGAAGCGGGCACTGAGTTTTATTTCTTGTTTTTTTTAATATGAAAGCAATTGGAAATGTTGCGAATCATTCCTGTCCATACCTTGTGCACATTTGAGGTTTTGCAAAATAAATAGAACCTCTGAGATGCTACGACCACAAGATTTATCAAATTTAACGATATAGGCATTTGTTTGCTTATTTTAACTGCTAACTTTTTATATTCTTTATTCAGTAAGCTGCCCCAAGAGCAGAGAAAGCTGGTGTTTGAAGTTCACTCCTCATTGTTGTGCACTTAAAGTAGCTTCCAGATTAAAAAAACACAAATCAGGAAGTAAACACAATAAAACACACAAACAACAGCACCACACAAGCTGTCCCAGTAAAGAGCACCTTAAAAAAAAATTTAATTCAGAATACTGGAAGTTCAGTTTCTATTGCTCTGCAATTGCATTTAATTATTTCTTACATTTCTATCCTGCCCTTTCTCTCAAAGACATCCATAGGAGCAAAAATCAAAAAGTTAAAGCAATACAATTCAAAATTAAAACATTTAAAAACAAACTAAAAACAGCTAGAACCATTTAGAACATCTATAAGCAACAACATGATACCATCACAGTCACTAATCTCAAAGTTGTTTTGGCCAGTGTCTTTCAGCCATCAAATGCCTGGGTAAACAGGAATGCTTTTAAATTTCAACTACAGTGGTACCTCGGGTTAAGTACTTAATTCGTTCCGGAGGTCCGTTCTTAACCTGAAACTGTTCTTAACCTGAAGCACCACTTTAGCTAATAGGGCCTCCCGCTGCCGCCGCACCACCAGAGCACGATTTCTGTTCTCATCCTGAAGCAAAGTTCTTAACCTGAGGTACTATTTCTGGGTTAGCGGAGTCTGTAACCTGAAGCATATGTAACCCGAGGTACCACTGTACAGTTAATGAGAGAGACTGATACACCCCAAGAGGAAGACCATTCCACGAACATTCCATGCCCCTTTCACAAGTCAAATCAGGCAGCAAATCATGCAAACTACAGATCATGTATATAAATAAGATTATAATATGATTTATGTCTATTATCTCTATTGGCCGCAGAATTTTGTTTCTCAGTGCCAAATATCTCATGGAGTTGCCACTGCCCCCTACATTACCCACAGGCCAACCATATCTATTTTACTTGACTTCAACCCTGTGAAGTCCATCATAAGTTTATAGCCAGTAACTTAAAAAGGAGCCTGTTTATGCAAAGTCTGGCCTCAGTAGGAGAGGGGAAAACATTAGTTCACCAAGAAGAACCCCCACCCCAGACAAACACTGACTTCCCAAATTTTGATTTGTGTATTTTTTGGCGTATTAACATAAAGCCCTTAGCTAAATTTGGATAGACAATCTGACTCAATAATCTCATGTACACATTAACAATGGATAGAGTTTACATCCACTTCATTAACTGGAATGCTGACGAGAATAAAGCAAAAAGCATATGACGAGAATAAAGCTGCTATTTTTGTGCTACAATATTTGCTTGAAAGATCTACCATACTTTTCCATGTATAAGATGAGGTTTTTTTATTCTAAAAGAATGTTTAAAATTGGGGGTCCTCTTATACATGGGTAGTGCATAGTGGGGACGTGGGATTGGTTGCTGCCGCGAGGAGATTGTCAGCTGCGATTGGGCAGTTTATTGGTGGCTGTGGCAAGGGCTTTTGTCGTTTTGCTGTTGCTGCGGCAATTGGGCGGGTGAATGATTTTCGGCAATCCCCCCAAATGCTCAACAACCCTGGGCAATCGCCTCCCATTTTCTTAATTAGGAGTCCCCCAAAATTGGGGGCGGCTTATACACGGGGGCCTGTTGGGCATGTTATACACGGAAAAATATGGTATGTCCCCTCCTTCAAAAATGGAGCACATGACAACTTACAGCAATGGCTGTGGCTCATTGGTAGGGCATCTGCTTTGCATGCACAAGGTCACAGGTTCAATCCTCAGCATCACCAGGCAAGGCTAGGAATGGCCCTTGGCTGGAAACTCTGGAGAGCTACTACCGGTCAGTGCATACAATGCTGAGCTAGATGAACCAGCAGTCTGACTCAGTAAGGCAGCTTCCTATGTTCCTAATGATAAAAAACACAGTCATAATAATTCTTAAAGTCAACAAACAAAATTGAACGGCATCATTCAGAATAAATAGGCAACCCAGAGGAACCTATAATGGACCATTGCACCCCCCAAGAATCCTTGCACTATACAAATAAAGTTCTTCATCCATACAATAATTATGTACTTTTTACTACTTTCTGCCTACTAATCTACCAAAGACAGTTCCAGAATGGCAGGGAAGGGGGACAGTATATGTTGGAAGCATCGCCAAGACCCATGTTCAGGAGTGAGGAGAAGGGCAGAAGCAGCACAGCGCATTATAGGGCTGTCAGTTACATGTTGCCAAAAAAGAGGTAATGCATCAGGAAAAAAGGATGTAGAGTTGCATATGCTAAATGATATATATATATAGACAAGCACATTTAGTAATAATTATTATGACTTAAATGGAAGCACAAATGCAGCTGCTGGTTGGGGCATGGAGAAAGAATAATTCATTTTCAAGGCCAAGGAGAGTCCAGGGTGATATGGGAACATAGACAGGCTTGAAGAAACAGGATAGGCTCTGACTGTTGCTCTGAGATAGGATGTGTGTGGAAGAAACAGAAGAACCCTCCACTCTTAGCTCCTTGCCCTCCTTCAACAGCCATTGCCATGGTAGCAAGTTGAATGAGGTGGGACAAGGGAGTGAAGTAGGACAGTGGTGAGTAAGGGCTTGAACTTGCTATCCTTTCTTCCATCAACCTTACCAAGAGCCCTGTTGGATAACACCAGAGGCCCATCTAGCCAACATCCCATTTTCGCACAATGGCCAACTGGACATGCCTCTAGGAAGCCCCAAGAAGAAGAATCCTCTACTGCTACTGTCCTCCAGCAGCTGCTACTCAGAAGCAAATAGAGAAATAGGGTGGCCCATTATTTCCAGCTCAGTCTAGTGTCCTCTTCTTCTGCCATTTGTCCAGTATACTGAGAAGTGGACGACAGCCTTTTTTCTTCCTTTTACTGAGTGATGGCAGTTAACTGGGGTGGGGCAGCAGCATGGCCAAAGCACAGCCGAGGTCTCCCAATAACACTCTCTTTCCCAAAGCCAGCTCACCACTACTGCCTGCCCCTTCCCACTGCACAGCCAGATTTGGGTAGGCAGTAGATAGGGACAATAAGCTGTGCTAACGAGGTTTGGGGAGGGTTTAAAGTAGCAAAATACACAGCATTTCATAAATAATTAAAAAAGAAACCCAAATTACAGCACTACTTGGAAGTCCGCTCCACTGAACTCAGCAGTACCTACCTCTAAACAGACACAGAGAAGAGTATGCCATTGGGCATCAACCCAAATCCCCATCACTGCTGCATCTGCAGCCCTGAAACACACCCCACCCAGGGCAAAAAGCAAGCTAATGCCAGATCCCATAGAGAAAGCTGGCCAGGCTTACAGAACCACAGACAGCTCATGGTGAACAACTTGCTCCAGTAAAGGTTAGGAGCAGACTGAGCCTATTTAAGCTCTGCACTCAATGCAACTTCTCTCAGACTCCACCCACTTGTGAGTAACTCTAGATTCTTAAAAGGGCCATGCCTCTGGCCTGAAGACGAGCACTCCTCCATCGCTCTCTCACCTCTAACTTGTATTGTGCTCCCTGTATTGCTGGTCTGGTGAGGAGGTTCTGGGGGAGGCATTTGGTTCCTCAGGGGAAGGCGCCCATGAAGGTACCCTGCAGATACAGGAGATTCTTCTGGGGGCTCATGTTCCTCAGTCTCAGTTGTTCCTCAGTCTCCAGCAGCTCTGTGCCTGATCTGATCTGAGCTGGAAAGTGTGCAGCCTCTTGGCTGCTGCTAGCCTGAAGTTGCCATATGACAGTGGTGGGGCCACCTTGGGATCCATCGGATTTGGGGCTGGCTCAGCCCCTTCCCACCGCTCTTCTGGAACACTCCTTTGGGACTTTCTGTGGACTGTCATTGCAAACTCAGCAGGTATAACATTGAATTCTGTGTTGGCAGAATGGCAGTGGTGTCACATTGCAGGTAGAAGCCAGCAGGACTGGGCAGAGGGACCCTTCTACCCATTACACACACACCTGCATGCCCAGGACAAAGGGGGGTTGAATTGCAGATTTGGACTGTTATCCAAAACATATTTACTAGGGAGTAAGCAAAGATGCTTAGGATTGCATTGTAAGAAAGCACTGTGAAATTTGTGCTGAATGCACCCTATGCCTTTAAAGCACATTGAAGCACACATTACCCCTCTAAAAACCTTGGCCAGTGCAGTTTGTCAACAGTTAATCCAAACTCTGGGAGAAGCAGGGCTAACTTTTTTTTTCCTCCATAGACCTAACTCTAGCCTCAAGTGAGGGGCAAATTAGACCAGAAAACAGCTTGAGGGAAAGGATTAAGCAATTCCTTCTTCAGCACCACTGCACAAATCAAATTTGAAGATTATTGCACTTATTTTAAAAGTTGTTTCAAAAAGTCAGGAATCCTGATCAGGGGTTGCATGCATCATGTATGGACTGGGGCTGAGAGAGAGAAGGAAATCAGTTTGTAAACAAAACAAGGATATTTGAAATAAGCCTTAGTGGCAAAGTGTCATGTTTGGGTAATCCTGAAGATGTCATATTCATTCCCACTACATTGAAAATACAGTTTGCCTTAGGGATGAATCTGTCCTTACTTTAAACTTAGAGCAAGAGGTGGGCAGACTTTAATCACATAAATGGCTTGCAGGAAAGAAAATCTCCCTGCCATTTCTTGTATACTTGGCATCCAAATTGCAAGTGCTAGAAACTGTCATCTGGCACCAAAAATGTGTTACTGCATGCAGAACATGCCAAGTGACTGCAATGTAGGAGTTCTGTTTTTCAAGCATTTTCAAACCTGAGGGTTACCGCACTTTTGACCCTCCATCCAGCTATTCTTTTTTTTAAAAAAATACGATGACTGTCTATGTGGAAGAGAAATCAGAGGGTTGTTATTTGTTATTTGTAATACAGCCAAGCATTCTTTCTGACCAATACGTTTCACAATCAAATTTCAAATGTGTCTGGAACAAGAGCAGCTTTAAGCTTCCCTTGTGTAAAAATAAATGCCGGCTTTTTATTTAATGATGTAGTACAGCAGAGCCAAAGTGCTATGACTGCCATCTGCTGGACAAGAAATACCCTTCAGAGAAATCTGCAACGCCGATGAAGACCTCTTTTTAAAACGAATCTCTGTGCTGTATTTAGCACAATCTGTAAGAGATGTATGTGATCTATCTTGTCCAGAGAGCACGAGTGGCAAAATCCAGGCTCACATGATTTGAGAGCACAAAGCACACTACCCCCATGTCAGCATCCTAGGCAAGGCCAATTCATTGCCTCTGAAATGAATGGGAACTTTTTCTGCAATGCAAGTTGCTGGTATGTCTCTGCTGCACATAGATGCAGATTGGAGTCGCAGGAGGGTGAAAGAATTAAAGCCTCCAACCCCCATACTAGGGTCCTGATCTGGATCCCGCCTCCCTCCAGTATACAGTGGTACCTTGGGTTAAGTACTTAATTCGTTCCGGAGGTCCGTTCTTAACCTGAAACTGTTCTTAACCTGAAGCACCACTTTAGCTAATGGGGCCTCCTCCTGCTGCCATGCCGCTGGAGCACAATTTCTGTTCTTATCCTGAAGCAAAGCTCTTAACCTGAATCACTACTTCTGGGTTAGTGGAGTCTGTAACCTGAAGTGTATGTAACCTGAAGCGTATGTAACCTGAGGTACCACTGTACAGTTATTCTAGCAAAATACAGGACAGAACACAGTGGTGGGCAGGTGGTGTTGGGGTGACCCGACCCCCCCCCCCCCCCCCGTGCTGAAATGACTTCAGAGAAATCCATTACAATCTATTGCTGCCTAACCAGATGACCCCTCTGGAATTTTTCTTTCTTTCTTTCTTTCTTTCTTTCTTTCTTTCTCACTCACACACCAAAATGCCACAAACATTTTAAGTTTTATTTTGTGTGTGCGCATTCAATATGGGATGTTGCTATTTTAAATATAATGTAAGTCACCTTGAGCACCAGGACCCATCAAACATTTAGTTTTTATTTTCTTGATATTTTTATTATGGAATGTAACAGTTTTAAAAATGGCTATAAGTCTCCACAAGCATAGGATGTGGCTAGATGATCTATGTTAAAACACACTCACTCTCTCAAATCCATAAGGGTTTTTTTCTGCCAACAATTCAAGATTGACATGGTAGGGGGATAAAAATAAAATAAACGCACCACTAGGGGGCAGTGAAGGATAAAGAAGAAAGGTGATGGATTATATCATCACAGTCGCTAGGTGCAGGGCAGGTAAAGAGACGGCTGAGCCAAAGGGAGTTTGCAGGCACTGCAGATCAGCTGATGCTCTGCAAGTCCCAGTAATCAGCTGATCACCAGGATTTGCATACTCTGCAAGCCCTAACAATGGGCTGATCATTGGTGCTTGCACAGCATTGCATCTGGCACTTTGCAATCCTGATAACCAGATAATAGTTGGGTCTTTTCAGGAGCTGCCAATCAGCTGATGGGTGGAGCCTGCAAACCCCTTTGGTTCAGCTGTATCTTCACCTGCCTCACCTCTGATGTCAGAGGGTGTGGCTTGGTCAAATGGCCCATGTTTACAAAATGCCTGAAGCGAGGATGTGTGAGTATATGTGCATCAAACAAAAGCTCTTCCTTCAAAGCTCTTGCAATTCGCTGGAAAAAAGGGCAAAGTGGTGTTAGTGACCAGCAGCCTATGGTCTAAAAATTGTCTCCAGCAGCTACGGTTATCAAATGACAATTTCCTGCTCAGCCCTTCACTAGAACTTAGGCCTTAGTTCTTTCTCGTTTACTCAATTATAACAATAGCCATGGCATAGGACAGGCCTTCGCTGTGT